TGCCAAAGTGGCCAAAATGGCCAGAAAAGAGCCGATCCGAAGCCAGGAGCCAGGAGCTTCCTCCAGGTCTCTCCCACAAGGGCAGGGTCCCAAGGCTCTGGGCCGTCCTCCACTGCTTTCCCAGGCCACAGGCAGGGAGCTGGATGGGAAGTGGAGCTGCCGGGACACCAACAGGCGCTCACATGGGATGCCAGCACGTGGAAGGCAAGACAGGATTTAGCTGCGAGGCTACACGCTGGGCCTGAACCGGTGGTCTTAAGGTCCCCTCTGCTCTGCACCCTCAGTAACTCTTTCAAACAAATAAATAAACCTTTGAACCACCAATGACGAAAAACAAAACTACTCTCGAGGAACCAAAGGTAGCTGCCGCTTACAGTACCCACATCCCAACCAGAGCGCCAAGCTGTGCCCCAGCGCCCTGCTCATGCCCCTAGGGGCCATGCCACCCACGTGGCAAACACTGACGGAGCTCCAGGCTGCTGGCTTCAGCGTGGCCCAGGCCCGGCCACATGCAACCAGCTCGGCCTGAACCAGTGGATGCAAAAACTCTTCTGGCCTCTTCCTGTCCCTCTCTGCCTTCCACACTGCAAAAATCAAACATTCAACATTGTTGTAACGCTTTGTCTTCCAAAGTCCTTACAATGCAACATACTCTAGCTTCAAGAAAAAAAAAAAAATAAAAACTTCACAATTTCATTTTTCAATCATGCGGACCAACCAATGCTAGCTCCTTTCAGGGTGTAGAAAAACAAGGGAGAGATGGCTGACCTCCCCTAATCCTGACACCAGACTCATCAGTCAAGTATTTCTTCAGAATGGGACTCACCCCATGACTCCTGCTGGGACAGGTGGACAAGGTTAAGTAAGGCTATTAGTCTACCTGAACTGATTTAAAAAAAAAAACACGCTTCAGGCAACAGCGCAGCAGGACAAAATTGGGGTGCATCTTCCAAACTTTCCCGTGCTTTGTAAGTATATACAACGGTTACAAAGCAAAAGTGACTAAAGCCATGAGTCTGCCAACACGCGGCGTATGTCCTCCGAGTCATTTAACTGGCTACCCCACTTCGCATTCCTGCACGGCTCTCTGCCGGTCCTCAGGCCCAACACAGCTAGCTACCCTGTGGCCCACGGACCACGGCAGGGCTCCGGATCCTGCCCGCTGCCTCGGGCACACAACACCACAGGCCCGGGAGGAGGGGTCGCTTACCCCTGTGCATCAGAACGCACCTGTCCATGCTGGCGTCAGTACTACACTCACAAAACTGGGGGGAAAGGGGGGCAGGAATTCCCCCAAATGTCTGCCCCTGAGCATGAATAACTAAAAGGAGGTACAGCCAAAAATAAAGCGTTATTCAGGAATGAAACCGAACAGAGGACTGATTCGCACGCCACACAGCGCGAACCCTTTGAAGCCACGATGGCTGACACGGGGCACGGAGGGGTTCCGTGTCGTATGCTTTCTGAAACCTCTGCAGAAGCCCAGAGTCCACGAGTGGCTGCGGGCCAGGGAGGCACTACCAGCCGATATGATGGTTTCTTTCGATGGAGGGGGGAGTGGTGGAGGAAATGGTGCCCAAAGAATGGTTTGCGCATCCTGGCAACTGAACGTTGAATTACACCTCAAAGTTACGAAGATGTCTGATTAAAAAAAAAAAAAAAATCTAGCATACCGCTGTGTTCGAATCACATTGAACTGACATTCAACAGTGAACACGACTGGACTACACACACCGAAACAGACTCCTTGTACCAAGGAGCCCGCCTTCCCTGGCGCAGCTCCGGCGCTGGCTGTGTAGACAGCGGCTGGCCACGCACAGGTGAAAGCGGCATCCGAAACAGCAGGTGCACGAGAATAAAACAGAAAGTGCTTCTGTTCTCCTAGACAAACCGAAACGTGAGTGGAGCTGCCCACACGCCTTGACTGCCACTTCTGTGACAACACTTTCCTGCAGGTCAGGGGTGAGGCCGCACAGCACAGCACGGCGGTCGCGCACAGAAGCCAGCCCGGGGGGGCCACGACACCACGATGAGACGGACTGCCTGCCCTCCCACCCAGTCACTACGGAACCAATTCCGTCCACTGCTCAATGTCTGCCACTGTACGCAGGCCGAATTCTTGCTCAACCGTCCTTCCAGTGTGTTCATTCCCAGACTAGTGGGCTGCCTCTCCCAGGCCCCTTTAGACAAGGAAACAGCCCCTGCCCTCAGGGAACTTACATTCTGCTTCTGGGGGAGGAAAAAAAAAAGTGCAGCAAACTCATAGGATGGTTCCAGCCAGGAGGTCCCCGCAGTTCGCACCTTGCCCAGTCTCTCCTCTATACACTGAACCTCCACGCGGACCCGCCAAACAGCTGTACCAGTCTCCAACAAAGTTTATTACGACAGGAGGGCAGCAACGTGGAGCAAGGCAGAGGGCATCGCCTTAACAGCAGGGATCTCCCCACACCCAGTGGCCATGGCCCATGCCTTCTGCCTCACCGACACCCCCCCCCCCCCCACTCTGGTTTGCCTCTCTCTGGAACTCTCCACGACTCTCCCCAGCCGGAATTGTGTAACACACCAGACGAAAAATGCAAGCAGCCCTCCCCACCTCGCCTCCCAAAGCAAAAGCACAATTGGGTACAAAGATCAAGGCCCCTGGCTTGGAAGGCAGCTTCTGGAAACAAAGTCTAAATTCCTCTAAACAACCCGATAATTTGGTGGAAATTTGACTAAGTAGCAATGGCTCTCTTGGAAATCCCTGGCTCATTTTTCCTCCTTATCGCCCCGCAGGCTGCTGAACTCCCGCTGCTGATCTCCCAAAACATCCTTCAGACGCAGCAGCCCCTCCCGGTGAATGGCCTGGGGCGCTCACCTGGGCTGAACCTGGCGAGCCATCAGGGTGGGATCCACCTCCGACCACTTTCCCTGGACTAGCTCCCTCCTCCTCCCGCCCGGCCCTCCCTCGATACTATGTTTCCAGTCAAAGTCAACAACATGCTGGATTAAGAACCCATCCCTCCATTGCATCTGATCAGCCTATCAGAGAGGTTTTATCTTTCCCTGATTGAAACTTTGGGAGCCACCAAGCTGGCTATCTAGACTCTGCTGAGGTGGAAAGATAAGCCGGGCTGCAAACGGAACAGAAAAAGGAATGTTTTCATGTTTTCGTTAATTACTGGCTGGCAAGGTCGTTTAAGGCGGGCACAGCTAACTTTCCCCGAAATTGACAACACATTCACAAATTCATCAGGGTATTTTTTTTTTCCTTTACAACTTCCGAGGGAACTGACAGTCCCATTCATTTGAAATAACAACAACAATAATACCCCAATCGTGATCACAGCACAAAAAAAAACCAAACAAACAAACAAAAAAACCAAAACACTGGCACATTCGTCAAGCCTTCCTAGGTCACCCAACTCCCAGCTCAAGACCACAGGCCCCACGAGGCCACAAGAACACTTTACACACAAAAATTAAAATTAAAAAAAAAAAAACAACAAAACAACGGGGTGGGGGGTGAGGCCGGCGCTCAGGGGAAGGCACGCTGGCCACCCAGCCGAAGCACATGACACACACGGAGCCACAGCGCCCTTCCCCTACCCCCGAGCGGGGTTTCCCGTTTTCAATCTCCAACCTGAGGCCAGGCCTCACACCCGGCTCAAGCTGGAACTATTTCCGTTTGGGAGGAGATGAAGGAGTGGGGGGGGGGCACGACTGTCATTTTATTTCGCTGAATCACAACTCCTCCACATCCCCACCCCAAACCACCACACGCCAAAGACATCGCACGGGGAGACAGGGAAGAGGGTAGAGAAAGAAAAAAAAAACAAAAAAGGCCAGGGGAAGAGGGTGGGTTGGGAAGGCCGTTGCCAAGAAGGCCAGGGCGCCCCCACCGAGCAAAAACAAAAGCTCCCCGGGAAAGGGGGGCTGCCCGGCGCGAGCGATCGGGGCAGGCCATGCTCGCGCCTCCCCTGTCCCCGGCGGGGCCTGTCGGCTGCCGAGGCGGCCTCCTTCTCCTCCTCCTCCTCTGCAGAGCCGCGGGGCGCACGGTGGGCAGGTGAGGCACATGCACGGGGTGGGGAGGTGGGGGACGAGGGGCGCACTGCCCGGGTGACGGGGTGATGGGGGTGGGGGTGCCCCGGTAGCAGGACCCAGCAGCCAAGAGGGAGAGAGAGAGAGAGAGAGAGAGAGAGAGAGAGAGAGAGAGAGAGAGAGAGAGAGAGAGAGAGAGAGGAAGGGAAGGAGCGTGCGCGCACAGGGCAGCCAGGACGCACGGCCTGCCCCAGGACGTCGGGGGAGTTGTGGGGAGGGGTGCCGTGCCTGCACCGGCCATCACGCCGACCCCGGACTTACCGGGGCCGGGCGCGGGCCGCAGCTACTGCTACTGCTGCTGCTGCTGCCGCTGCTGCTCCTCTAGCGCTGGTTTTCTCCCTCCTCTCCCTCTTCCTCCTCCTCCTCCTCCTCCTCACTTGACAAAATGGCGGCGGCAGGAAGTGCCGGGCGCCTCGGCCCGCCCCCTTGCCCGCCCCCGGCCGCCCGCCCGCTCGCCTGCCCGCCTGCCCGCCTGCCGGCCCGCGCCCCCCGCACCCCGACCCCGTCGGGGCCAGCCCCCCCGAGCGCAGGGCGACGGAGACTGCTGCTGCTTGGGGTGGGGAGGGGGCGTTTGCTGGTGCTGGTGATGGTGGTGGTGGTGGCGGCGGCGCCTCCAAGGGCCCCAGGCCCCGCGCCCTGAGCGAGCGAGCGAGCGGGCGGGCGGGCTCTCCCCGTGCGCCCTGGGCGCACAGCGCACGGCGCGAGCGGGGGGCCCTCCGCAGGCCCGGGGCGCGCCTCCCCCTCCACCACCAACACGCCGATGGCGTAGGTAGGTAGATAGGTAGGTAGGGAGGTGGGAAGGCGCCACGGGCCCCCCCACCATTACGCAATGCAGCTGCCCGGTGCCACCCCCGCGAAGGGCACGGAGAGACGCGCGCGCACGCACACACACACACACCGCGGACACACTGGATCCTCACCTGAGACGCTAGGCCGCACGCCGCCCCCGCCGCCGGCCGCCGCCCCCTCTCCTCCTCCTCCTCCTCCTCCTCCTTCCCGGGCTGCCTTCCGCGGCGTCGCCGGGGCCCCCCGCAGCCGCCTGGCCGCCGCCGCTCCGCCGCGCGCGCTCCCAGGGCCCCCCGCACGCCTGCGGGCACCGCCGGCAAGCCGACGCCGTGGCGCCGCAGCCGCCACCGCCGCCGCCAGCCGCTCGGGCTTCTCGGCTGCGGAGAGCAAGAACAAACAGCCCTGCCGCCGCCGCCGCCGCCGCCGCCAGCGCGCTGACGTCACCGCGCACGCTGCGCGCGCGGCCCCGCGCCGCCGCCGTGCGCGCCACTCCCCTCCTGGGCGCGAGAGCGAGCTCCGGGACAACAAGCCGTCGTGCAAGGGCTGCAGGTGAGCAGGTGGAGCCGGCTCGGACCGAGGCCCCGCGTGCCTGGCGGGACACGGAGACAGACGGAAACGGGAGAGCTCGGGCAGGCGCCCCCAGTCAGGCTCCCTAACCCGGCCCACCCCCGTGAGCTCGCTCCTGGGGTCTGGGATGTCCTGGCACCCCCCAGTCAGGCTCCCTAACCCGGCCCACCCCCGCGAGCTCGCCCCTGGGGCCTGGGATGTCCTGGCTCCCCCCAGTCAGGCTCCCTAACCCGGCCCACCCCCGTGAGCTCGCCCCTGGGGTCTGGGATGTCCTGGCTCCCCCCAGTCAGGCTCCCTAACCCGGCCCACCCCCGTGAGCTCGCCCCTGGGGTCTGGGATGTCCTGGCTCCCCCCAGTCAGGCTCCCTAACCCGGCCCACCCCCGTGAGCTCGCCCCTGGGGTCTGGGATGTCCTGGCTCCGCCCAGTCAGGCTCCCTAACCCGGCCCACCCCAGTGAGCTCGCCCCTGGGGTCTGGGATGTCCTGGCTCCCCCCAGTCAGGCTCCCTAACCCGGCCCACCTCCGTGAGCTCGCCCCTGGGGTCTGGGATGTACTGGCTCCCGGGGTGCAGCCGTGCACGGAGAGGCCTCTCGCCTCCAGCAGCAGCAGCAGCAGCAGCAGCAGATCTGGGTGTTCACCCTGTGGGAATCCTCCTAAAAAAGATCCCATTAGGATCTCTCCTCTCTCTGCAAACATTTCCGGGGCCGAAAGCATTGCGACATGTCCATCGGTCGGTCTGTCTGTCCCCTGCACCTTCTCTCTCCGCGTTGTCACTGTCATGCATGAAAAAAGAGGGAGAGCCGCCTGACCTTGCAGCCTGCCTACTGGGTAACGCAGGCGTCCTGCATGGGCACCGGTTCGGTTCTTGGCTACTCAAGCGATGCCCCAAGTGCTTTGGTCGGCTCTCCCATGTGGGAGACCCAGAAGTCAGATATATAGAGAAGAGGAGAGACAGAGAGAAAGATCTTCTGTCTGATGATTCACTCTCCCTGTGACCACAACGGCCAGTGCTGAGCTAATCTGAATCTGAAGCTAGGAGTTTCCAGGTCTCCCACGCGGGTGCAGGGTCCCAACACTTTGGGCCGTCCTCCAGTGCTTTCCCAGGCCACAGGCAGGAAGCTGGATGGGAAGTGGAGCTGCCGGGATTAGAACCAGCGCCCTCTAAAAGCAGTTGCTTTAGAGGATCTGACATTTACCTGTTTCCTGCCTAGATGCAAAATGGCCTTAGCGTCTTAACGCCTCTGTGATGGGGTGCAGCCACTAATAGCCAGCACCCATTGACAGTGGGCAAATAAAATGTGGCTGTGTCCCCTACCCTCTGTCCTAAAGCTGGGGCCTAGCAATGGAATGGTAATTCCATCCTCAACCCCCCTACCCCCACCGCCACCTTGGTATTCGCTCCTGCCCACCTGTGACTCACCTATCAACTGAGAGGGGATGGTCTGAGTGTGGTCCCTGTGTACTGCTTAGATTGGACAATGGACATAGTAATGTTTCTAGTTTGTATGCTGTCCGGAGTTCCAGGAGAAGCAAGGCCTAGCAGTGATGGGATGTGAGCAGAGAAGCCAGGGAGAGGTGAATGTCTGCAGCTTTGGAAGTGTGTCCAGGTTCTCCGTTGCACGTCTTAGGATAACTTGCATTGTTGGGGAAGCTGGGACATAGGTCTTCAGCTTGGAAGGACGGACTTCAGGGTAATGACCATTTGTTCCTCTAGGGGTTATGTTCGGTTGGATGGCCGTATGGCCTTGTGATTCGCCATTTCCAGTACGCTCTGCTATCACCAAGCTTGGTTAATAAAGACTCCTTAATAAACCCGAGACGTGTCTGGTGTGATCTCGCTCGCGCCCCAGAACATCTCCAAGCTCCCATCAAGACTTCAGACACCAGATGACTTGTAGCTTCTGTCAGGGACCACTGGAAATAAACTTCTGGGGCCCAGCAGCATGGCCTAGCAGCTAAAGTCCTGACCTTGAGCACGTCAGGATCCCATATGGGCGCCGGTTCTAATCCCACTTCCCATCCAGCTCCCTGCTTGTGGCCTGGGAAAGCAGTGGAGGACGGCCCAAAGCTTTGGGATCCTGCACCCGCGTGGGAGACCCAGAAGAGGCTCCTGGCACCCAGGTTAGGATTGGCTCAGCTCCAGTTGTAGCCACCTGGTGAGTGAACCCGTGCTTGGATCTGTAAATCTGTTTTTCCATAAAAATAAATCTTAAACTCAACAGTGAATAGTATTTAGGTGGTTTTCCAGCCGCCAGGGCTAGCCAGCTCATGCAGGAAGCAGCAATTCCGTCTTTCGCATGGATGTGACACCCTAAGGAGCTAGGCCATGCTCTGCCCCTCTCGTGGGTGCCTTTCCTGGGAGTTCGATGGGAAGTGGCGCAGCTGAGCCAGGCCTGACAATCCAGCTTGAACTGCAGACACCCCAAATGGCTGCGCCCTCGTCTTTTGCACTATTGACTGCCGGTTCGGCCTCTCAATGCAACAGCTAACCCGAGGAGTGGTGATCATCCGACCTGCGTGTCCCCTGTGGGCGGGAAGAAGCCATCCCTGCCACGGCCTCCCGGGGGGCTGCGGGAGTTAGAGACCAGCCAGGTCCCTTGGGATGGTGTCAACTTAGCAGGCTGTTGTTCAACGCTCCTCACGGCCAATGCCACGGCCCTGCTGGCCTTAACAGGCTTACAGGGCACACTGCCGCTGAGCAGTGGTGCGGCCACGTTCCAGATGTTGTGTATCAGTTCCTTTCAGGAGTTCTCCATGACCACCTGTCCTGCATCCCCCCCTCCCAAGCTCCCAGGGACTGGCATCGGGTATGTGGCAGGTGCTGGTCAGGGCTTTTGTCGCCTGCCGGCTGCTTGTTCAGCCCGAGGTCTGAGGCAGATCTGGACACACGGGAAGGGTCTGCAGGCAGCTGGGACCGGCAGGATGGCCCTTGCAGCAGCCCCTCACTGCCTTGACTCGCTGCTGGCCTGTTCACTCGGGCCATCTGACACTGCTGCTCTGAGCTTTGTTAATGTGCTCCCTCCTCGGGAGTGACACCCGTGTCATCAGTGTCCATGGGAATACACAATTCATAGAAAAGGATGGACACGAGGCGTGCAGGGTTGCAGGAGCATGCCTGCCCCACTGCCTGGCCAGCTGCAATCCAGGACAGGGGCTCCCAGCCAGCCACCCCCAAACTCCCACACTGTGGACCCGAAGTCACTACACCAAGCCACATCCAGAGCTACCACGCAGCTTTTATTAGGATTGCGGCCGCAGGGTGCAGGGGCTGACCCAGGAGCTGCAGGGATGCGCGGCCCCCCGGGCCTCAGATGGTGGGGTGGAGCGAGGCCCTCGGGATGCAGGCAGCGGGGTCTCCAGTGTTCTGGCCCTGTGTCAATGTCACACTGCAGGAGCATCATCAGTTTGTGCTTCGTGGCTGTCTGGGGTGGCTGTGCCCGCAGCGGCAGCTTCCGCGCTGGCCTCATCTGCCGAGGCTGCTGGCACCGCCTCTTCACTCCCAGCCTGGGCATCCTGACTTCCGGTCTCGCCCGCAGGGGCCGCGGTGAGCCCCACCTCGGATGCTGTCCCACTCGCCTGTGGGTCTGTCTGCTCGTCCGGCTGTGTGTCATTGTGGGCACTGCCGGCGCTCTCTGCTGACTCCACGGGGGCCTCCTCGGCGGCTGGAGCCTGGCTGCCCCCGGGGGTTGGCACTGCCTCGCTCTCCTCCCCCTCCACGGCCCGCACCGTGGCCGTGACCACGTCGGCTAAGACCTCGGCTGCCACCTCCTCTGGGCTCTCCTCCTTGTCCTCCGCTTCCATCTCCGGGTCCTCGCTGGTGAAGGGGTCCTCGCCCTGATCAGAAAGAATGAGTGAGGTCAGAGCGGCCTGCGGCTGTCCCCCGGTGTGTGTGTGGGCGCCAGCCACTCCCAGGCAGGCGCCGGGCCCTGTGGGCTCAGCTTCAGGAGCCAGGGCCAAGCTCGGACCACTGCTCTCTGCTCTATTCCAGAGGCGTGTTGAATGGCTGAGGCCTTCTCATAAAGCCAGCTGGCAGGAAATGCTGCTTTGACAATGACTGGGACGCCACAGGGCAGGCGAGTCGGCCTCAGGTCACTGTGGGCACCTGTTGCCCCCCAGAGCCGAGCCCCAAGCCTCTCTCTGCCTGCCTTGGGACACAAACACACACACTCTCTCTCTCTCTCTCTGGTTCCCAGGCCCAGCCCATCGAAGCCAGACTATTCCACGCACAGCGCCAGCTCCAGTGGCACTGTGGCCCTTGGGGCTGCAAACCAGGGAGCCTCCTGCGCTCTGCCTTGCACCCTAAGATGGACACACAGCGCACGCAGGTACGGAGGACACCTGGCTTGAAGGCCACAGGGGATCCGAGCCCTGGAACCTGAGCTCTGCGCCTTGGGGCCGCCTCAGGACAGGGGAGTAGCTGCAACCTGCACCCCGTCCCCACCCACACGTGCACTGTGCCCGCTGTGCCCCCCTGACCTTGAGGTATTTCTCCAGCATCTTCACGATGTGTCTGTTGTTCAGCACGCTCTTGGCCACGTGCAGGCTCGTCTTCTTAAACTGCTCCGCGGCCAGCTGCCAAAGGAAACACGAGTGGACGCCCACGGGCAGTCAGGGTGGCCTGAGGACCAAGCTGCCCTGGCGGCAGCCACACAGCTGCTTCCCTGGGGCTGGCATCCCGCGTGGGAATGCCGGTTCGAGTCCTAGCTGCTCGGCTTCTGGCCTGGTCGGCTTGCTTTCTTATTTATTGTGAATTGACTTGAAAAGCAGAGGCAGGTACAGAAAGAGCGCCTCTCCCATCCGCTGGTTAATTCGAGTAGCCACAATGGCCGGGGCAGTGCCAGGCTGGAGCCAGGTGCCCAGGCCTCTTCCAGATCCCACCCACGCTGGTGCAGAAGCCCAGATACTTGGGGGCCATCCTCTGCTGCTTTCCCAGATGTGGGAGTTGGTGGGAGGTGGAGCACCTGGGACTCGCTGAGCTGGCGCCCATGTGGAAAGAGCAGGCCTGGGGCTAAGCTGCTCTGCCACAGTGCCAGGCCCTATGCGGCTTGCTTTCTGCCAAGGAGCCTGGGATGGCAGAGGATGACAGCCCAAGTACTTGGGAGAACACTTTTAGTGAACACTGGAACGAGGGACACAGTTTGGTGACGTTACATAGGAAAGCAGAGACGCGGCGGTCCAAAGGACGGATGGAGCAGGGGCACTGAGACGCGCGGGGGCAGGGCAGGCCGCTCTAGGCTTTCCTGGCTAGAGGAGCCCTCACGTGTTGGCAGTTGGCTAGCTGGGCACACACACACGCATGGTGCCTTCCGATCTGCTGGCCGCCGCTCTGGGGGGGGGTGTTGCAATGGCCGTGGCACTGCCCACCAGCTGTCCCCGCGTGCCCACAGGGGACCGGGAGAGTCCCATCCCCTCACCCAGGACAACTCACCCTGCGGTTGTGGTTGTGGTCCACGGAGTGCAGGTGGCGCTGCAGGAGCTGCGGCTGCGCGGGGATCAGCATGTCACAGGCCAAGCAGTGCGCAGCCTCGATCTTCTTGAAGAAGTGCTCCTGGCCGATGCCTGTGCCGGAGGCCGGGCGGCCGTTCACCAGTCTCTCCCACTCCTGCCCACTGCCGCCCAAGCCCTAACTGCCTGTGCCCGCTGCAGGAAGCCCGGGGCTTGATGCTGCTATCCTCCGCTGTGCCCTGGGGCCACGTGGGGTCCCGCCCTCCTCCTCCTCCCAGCAGCCCCTGGGCTGTGTCTGGTCCCCTGCACCCCAGGACCCCCTGCTCACCCTTGAAAGGATCCGGCTTGGGTTTGGGGCTCTCCTTCTCCGTCAGCTCCCGCCGCCGCTTCTCAATTTTCTTGTTCCGGTTTACGATGTACTCCTGGAGGAGGGACCGTGTGAACGGTGGCTGCCCCGGGGCTGCCCAGGCGGCCCGTCCTCCCGTCCCCTGGCCGGGGGCGGCTGTGTGCTCACTTGCAGGAACTCCACCGTCTTGTCGGGCAGCTTGGTGCCAATGAAGCGCAGCGTCTCCTTGTGGAACTTGCTTTGTAGATGTTTCTGGAACTCTTCGTCCTCAAAGCTCCGGAACTTGCACACTGAGCAGGCAAACTGAATTCTGCAGGACAGTGACAGGGGGGAGGAAAGGGGGGGGTGCCGTCACAGCACGGCCAAGGGGCTGCCTGGGGGGACACAGCCGCACAGGGGACACAGAGAAAAGCGAGTCACACTGCCTCCGGGGTGGCTTCCCAGAACCACCGACCCCCCCAAACTCCCCAAGCTAGCCTGGTCGTCACTGTATATGAAGGAGCCGAGCTGGAGACGTCACGTTACCCAATATCGGCTCCTTTCCTGGGGGACCCTGCACGCTCTCCGAGCGCAATCAAGCCTGTGTGGTGAGGGTGAGTGGCCTGCAGTGCCCACCTGCCCTGGGGACCCTCCCTGCCCGGCCCTGTGAAGGGTGCAGGGCGCTCTGGAGCCAGGCCCCCGTCACTGTTATCACTTCCAAGCAGAGGGAATGAGGCGGAAAGAAAACGGACAGATCTTCCATCCACTCCCCCAGGAGCCCGGAGGACCCGTCTCCCATGCCAGGGACTCGACTGCAGGCGGAGTAGCTGGGTGCTTCTTCTCTACCCTAGTCAGGAGACCCGACGGAACAAGGCCCTTCCAGGTTCTCCGTGTCTCGCGCGGAGAGGCCCCTGAAGCGGGGCAAGCTGCCACCTGCCATGCTGGCAGTGGCCCACACTTGAGCACTTGTTTGTGTCCGTGGAGCTCTGCTATGTGCCCGGGGCCTCCTGTCACCCACATGGACGACACGGGTTAGAGTGCCAGCCTCCTGGTTCTGACCTGGCCCGGGCCTGACTGAGGGCATTTTGGGGGGGGGGGGGTGAACTGAAGGGTGCCAAGATGTCTTTCTGTTTACCTCTTCGCCTTTCAAACGAACGGACAGAAACGGGCCCGTGCTTTACAATGCTTGGCCTCCTGGCTCTGTGGTGGCACTCTTGCCTCTGTCCCATTTGGCCACAAGGGGCCTGGTGTTTCCTGCACCCCCGGGTGCCTTCTTGCTGTTACCCCCGGGCGTGGTCTGGACAGCGCACCGAGGCCCCTCAGCAGCTCTTGTCACCTACTCCTTCCTCCAGGATGCCCTGGTGCCAGTCCCTGGTGGCTGCCCCGGGGCCAGAGCACATAACTCCCCACTCCCCCAACCACTCTGCCCGCTGCCCACCTGTCGGCCGCTCGGTCCCGCATCCGGTCTCTCCTCCTCTGCTTCTCGCGTCTCTTCTTTATGTCGTCATCCTCGTCCTCTCCTGTGACAGAGAAGGACCTTCCAGAAGCCAGTGCCAGGGCCTCGTGGAGGGCTGTGGCGGCCCTGTGCCGGGCCGCATGGCACGTGGTGCCAGCAAAGGTTCCCAAAAGGCACGGGCCTCTGATGAGTGCCCGGAGGCGTCTCACTGCTCCTGCCACGGCCCAGTAGAGGCCAGCACGGCTCAGGGGGCACGGCCTGCTCAACCCGCCGACACAGAGCTCACTTGCCTGTGTTGTCCTCGGCTGGGCCCCGTCACCAGGTCTTCCCCCGGGGTCACTTAAGGAGGGGAGAAGCAGCTCTCCGTAGCAGCTACAGAGGCGGCAGCAGGCAGGCCCCTCCATCCCACCTGCAGGGGGCAGTGACGCCCCTCCCGTCGGCCTCCGCTGACCTAGGGCCTCAGCAGGTCTGAGTCCTTGCTGGCCCAAACTCTATCTTCCACTCACAAACAAAAGAGCCCGTCAACCTAGGGCTTTCCCAGGGCTGTGTGGGAAGCAATGCTAGAAATAAACAATGGGGGAAGAGACTCATGGGTCCTCCCGCCATCTGTCGGCTGGGGTCACAGCCGGCGCAGCCAAGCAACCCCAGCCCTGAGGCCGGGCCGGTGCTCTGGGGCTCAGAGCCAGAGGCCGGAAGGACACTGGAAAAAAAAAAGGATGGGAGAAGCATCTGAACTGTAACCCCTACCCCTGAGGCCAGGCCCGGCTGTCCCACGAAGATGGCGACCGGCGTGCGCTGCTCAGAAGCCTCTCAAAAGGGCGAGTGAGACTTTTGGCAAGAGGTCACTGCCTGAAACTATGCCTGCTGTTTAATAGCAAAGTCATCCCGGGCAGGCAGAAGGACCTGTGCGCAACAAACACGTCACCTTTGCTGTAGCATTGACCCTGCCGCCCGAGCTGCTCTACCCTCGGCGTGTTCCCAGCTACGGGCGGGACCGCTCAGAGTCACAGGGGCACCAAAGAAGAGGCGAAGCTGCACCCTAAACCGCACACACGGGGTCAGCCTGGGACCCTTGGGTGAGGCAGCCATGACGGACCCTCAGGAAGAGGGTGGGGGAGAAGGCACACGGGTGGCTTTTGGGGAAGCCATGGCCCCCGCATCTCGGGTTGGTTGCTTTTCCATAGCCCCGTTGGGAGCGCTCAGGCTCCGCCTGCCTGGTCTCCTACTCCGGACTCAGGTCCCCGCGCTGGCGCTGCCAACACATCCTGAGCAAGCCCTGTTCCTCGGGAGCCGCCAGGCTCGCTCCGGGTGGTGGGCGCTCTCCCTTCCAGCCTCGGGGGTGCATGCTGACGTGCACACAGCTGCCAGGACCCCCAACCCTGGAGGCCAGCAACCGAGGCAGGTGGACAGTGAAGTCCGGGGGTGACAGGGGACTGTAGCCCGAGACCCCACCCTCCCCCCCAGCATCACAAGCACTGCAGACAGCCCGACGGGAGCGTTCCTCCCACACTGCACTGCACTGACTCAGCGAGGCAAACAAACAGACCTGTTTCCGGCCAAGCGTCTGCGATGGCCCTGGCCAGGGCCCCCCAGGGTGGCTGTGGCCCTTCCTGTGCCACCAGCCTGCTGCCTCTCCATCCAGGCCCCCAGCTTGCTCAGAAGCCCGGCCCTGTGGGGCCTCCGGGAAGACACAGGGGACCCTGGACGACACCTACCTTTCTGCCTCCCAGAATCACAGAGCTCGTCCTCCTGGAAAAAGGCACAGGCAAAGTTGGGCCGTGAGGAGGGGGGGCGGGTGCGGTTCCAGAACATTCCACCAGCCGTCAGCCCTTGGCTGCGCGATGGCGGCGGACAATCTCCCCCTAGATCTACTGGGGGCCAACTCCAGTGCTCCTGACCGGAAGCGGCCTGGTGGCCCTGAGCACCCCTGCTGCCAGGTTAAGGCTCAGGCGTGGGCCTCCCGTTAGAGCAGCAACACGGGGCTCCCTCTGGCACCCCACGGCCCAGGGGGGACAGTGTCTAAGGGTTAGGACTGCGGGAGTGAGCTGCAGGAAGGGAAATGTGAGCCCCAGGGCCAGGACTGGGTCCAGGTCAGGGGAATTAGATCCACGCGGGAGGGAGGACAAAGCAGCCCCACATCCCGGCCACGTGGGGGGCCTCGGCCTTGAGGTGGACTTACACCCCTGCATTCTTCATCTCCCGAGCGGAAGTCGCCAGCTCCGTCGTCTGCTAGACACAAAGGGAGCAGGACGGGTCAGCCGCCGCCAGGGGCTCCCCCCGTGCCTTGCCTCTGCTCCTGGCACTCGGCGCCCAGAGCTACAACGTGGTGCCTGACCACCGCCGAAGGCTGGGTGCGCCCTGCCACCCTCGGGTTCCCGCGTCACCGGGGCACGGGCCGTGCGCCCTCGCGGGGACGCGGCGGGCACGCACCATTTTCGGAAACATCTCCTTCGCTGTCAGCCCGGGCCACCTTGGCGTCTGGCTCCTCGTACATGGGGAACGGCCTCCGCTTCCTGCCCATGCCGTCCGGTCCGAAGCGGTCAAAACCCCGCCTCCTGGGCTGCAGACACACAGGGCCCTTTTGGTTGCCATTTAACCCGCGTCGTGCCAACCCACGCACAGCACCCATGCGCAGTGCTGTGGAGCTGACTGTGAGTGGAGCAAAATGCACAGGGGTCGCCAGGGGCCACGAGGGAGGGCTTACCCAGTCTCGCAGGTGCGTCTGCGCGCGGCCACAGCCGAAGGGCATGCTGTTGTCATAGCTGCCGGTGCCCTGCATGCCCATCCCGCAGTAGTCGGAGCCCATGGACTGGGAGAACAGGGAAGGAGGCGGCCTGTTGCCGGAATGGCCGCCGGGGCCCCTGCCAGCTGCATAGCTCATGTCATTCCAGGAGGTGGACAGGGACTCGGAGGAGGCCGGCACGAAGGGGTCGCCGCGCCCAAAGCTGCCGGAGCTGCCCCGCTCCTGGAAGCGGCCCTGGCCCCGGCCCCGTGCAAAGCTGTCCAGCGGGCCACGCTCGCGGGCCAGGTCCCGGCAGTCGCTGTACTGGCCGGCCCCGAAGCCGCCGTTGTGGTTGGCCCCCGGGTCGTAATCGTAGTCGTAGCTGTAGTTGGGGCGGTAGGAGTTCTGCTCCGGCACGCAAGGCCTGGAGTCGTAGGGCTCGAACTGTTGGAAGCGGAAGTTGCTGAAAACGAAGCCAGAACCACGTCAGGGGAAGCTGGGGGCGCTGACCTCTGACCTCGACACTCCAGCCAAGCTGCTCCTTCGGGTCAGAATGGCAATCTCCCCCCTCCCCAGGCGACTGACTGTGCCTTACTGGGTCAGGGAGTCTGCAGTGGCTGGGTGGGCTCAGCGGTCAGCCGGGCCCTTGGGAACCCAGCCACAAAGTCTTGTCTACAGGGGGCTCAGCTTCCCCCCGGCACCCACGGGCATGGAACCAAGCATGCCAGGGCCCCAGGTTCTAATTACCTGTCCCGGTCCTGCATGATTTCTGCACCGCCACCGCTCCCGCCCCTGCCCCCTTCCTTGGACATCATGTCCAGGCGCTGGTTGATCTTGGCAATGAGCGAGTCGGAGTTGTCGCACGGCTCCGGCCCGTAGGAGCCCATGTGCATGGCGGGGCCGCTGTCGCTGGCCTTGGCGGCCTCCCAGGAGGCTGGCCCGTAGTTGTACGAAGATCCCGAATGGACACTGGTATTCTGCGATCCATAGTAGTTGTAGTTGTCGTAACCTGTCAGAGGGAGGGCGACCTCAGCTCAGATGCCCATCCAAAACGAAAAGGGGGACCAGCGTTAAGCACAGCTGGCACCACGCTGCGCACCTGCAGGAGGAGGCAGCCGTGGCTCTTCCCATGCCAGCCCGTGGCACGGGGGGCTGGGAGTTACAGCTGCTGCTGCTTCCGGACCCCACCCACGAGCCCCCCAAGTCTCCTCCTCATCACCCCACGCTCACATCAGGCACGGAGAGCCATGCCACCGGCCCCCCGGTCGCAGCCCCTCACCCACCTGGAGACCCCCAGCTGCTCACACCAGATCCGTATGCACCTGCGGACAGACAGACACGATGAGCGCCTCGCGCGCAGGTCCAAGGACACCGGCAGCCCAGCTGCCGTCGGGGGGGCCCGTGTCCCACAAGGCCCTGGGCTGAGCAGCTCCTGGGCTGGCCTCCCAGGCAAGCCCCACCTCCCCCTGGCAGTGGAAGGGGGAGAACGCTGTGTGCTCCCCAGGGAGCTCGCTGTCCTGGCCAGGGTGCCCAGCCGAGCCTCACAGAAGCCAGTTCTCAGGCACTGCCAACCGCCCTTGGAGGGCTAGGATGGAAAGAATCATGTCCCCAGCTCAACTCCACAAGGCCGTGGCTGCACGCCAGCAGCAGGGACTGCGGGCACGGGGGCACTGGTGCCCGCAGCTGTGGGCGACAACCGGAGTGGGCAGCAACTCCAGGTGTCCTCAAGGAGCTGACCATGTGGTCAACCAGAGGCCCCCAGGGCAAACTCCATCCATGAGCTAGGGACAAGGCTTGGCAATAGTTTAAGCTGCTGGGCAACATACTGCAAAGAAAACCATATTGGGCCTGGCGTGGCAGCCTAGTGGCTAAAGTCTGCACCTTGCATGTGCCAGGATCCCATATGGGCGCCAGTTCTAATCCCAGCAGCCCTGCTTCCAGCTCCCTGCCTGTGGCCTGGGAAAGCAGTAGAGAACGGCCCAAAGCCTTGGGACCCTGCACCCACGTGGGAGACCCGGAAGAAGTTCCTGGCTTCAGGTTGACTTGGCTCTGGCCAGTGCGACCATTGGAAGAGTGAACCAATGGATGGAGGACTTTTTTTGTTTCTCCTCCTCTCTGTATATCTGCCTTTCCAATGGGAAATAAATAAATCTTAAAAACAAAAACCATGTGTGCTGGGACGCCTGGCCAAGCACACAGCGCCTGCTGCCGGTTGGAACCGTCCAGGCAACTCTGAACTTGCCCTGCCTGCTCAGCCCCGAGTTCAAAGCCGTGCTGGGAGGCAAAGCGAGACAGCCAGCAGACGACCACCAGCTCGCACCAGACCACACCCTCTGCTAGGAGTTTCACAGCACTCAAGTTGCACTGCCCGTTATTTGGGGGCAAAGGACATGTGGGCTCACGGAGATGCCACTGCATTCCTGGCTGACCGTCCCCCCTCGCAGCCCCCACTCACCTTGGGTGTTGGCAGGCCCTGCGTTCCACGCCCCGTAGCCTGTGGACACAAGATCCCGCTTGTGAAGGAGTCCCGGCCACCGAGGAGGCTGCCTCACAGCACAGCAGCCCGTCGAACAAGCGGCTTGTTCAGCTCCCGCCAAGCAGGCTGTGATAACTCGGGGTTCTCCCAGATCCTAACCCCGCCCCCCATGTGCCCCTGAGGCGTGTGGAACCGGACACCCCTATACCTTCCTCTCCCTGGGATGCTCCCACCAACAACAGGATGCCTGCTATATGCCCACGGTGCGTGGACGGCAGGCCAGGGGCGGCAACCAGCAGAACCACTATCTGGCTGTGCCCTTCCTCGCCTTGTGGCACCCACCAAGCAACCTTCCCCCGTGCGTGCACCGACCCGAATACTAGAAGGCAGCCTCCACCCCCCCGCCCCCTTTGCTGTGCATTAGCCTTCAAACACCCTAGGCACAGCACTCTAGTGAAACTGCAGTATTTACGGAAGCTGCCCTGGGGGACAGATCCCACCATGGCCGCCTGCCAGGAACTCAGTGAGGGCCTCCCAGAGGGCCCTGATGCCCGACAATGGGAGGGCAGAGGGGCCTTGTGCTTCTGCATGGTTTTGGGGTGCCGTCGGAGGCTGCCCGAGGCGACGGAGCTGCACAGGCAGGGTCCCCGGCTGAGCCCAAGAGATCCCTGTCCTGGCTGTCCCAGGGGTCCCCGCCCCGGCGCCCGCAGCTGCCCAAGGGGACCTGTCCCGTCCAGGCTGCCCAGGGGTCCCAGGGGTCTCTGTCCAAGCCCCGGGGGTCGCTGCCCCGGCTGCCTTGGGGTCCCTGTCCAAGCCCCGGGGGCCCCTGCCCCGGCTGCCCAGGGGTCTCTGTCCGAGCCCCGGGGGTCTCTGCCTGGTTGCTCGGGGGTCCCTGTCCAAGCCCCGGGGGTCCCTGCCTGGTTGCCCAGGGGTCCCCGTCCCGGCTGCCCGGGGGTCCCTGTCCAAGCCCCGGGGGTCTCTGCCCCGGCTGCCCGGGGGTCCCTGTCCGAGCCCCGGGGGTCTCTGCCCCGGCTGCCCGGGGGTCCCTGTCCAAGCCCCGGGGTTCTCTGCCCCGGCTGCCCGGGGGTCTCTGCCTGGCTGCCGGGGGGTCCCTGTCCAAGCCCCGGGGGTCCCTGCCTGGTTGCCCAGGGGTCCCCGTCCCGGCTGCCCGGGGGTCCCTGTCCAAGCCCCGGGGGTCTCTGCCCCGGCTGCCCGGGGGTCCCCGCCCCGGAGCCCCCAGCACACCCCACGCCCTGGCCCCGCCTCCGGAGCCGCCATCTTGTGGCGTCGGTGGAGCCGCGGGCTCCGGGCCGAGCTCCGGCCCCTTGGCGAAGCAGCAACGGCCCGGCCGACCCCGCGCGGAGCCCCCCGGAGCCCGGCCCCGCCCGCCCCCTCGGCCGGCCGTCCAATCCGCGCGCAGCGGGCCCGGGAGAGACGGCGTGCAGGCCCAATGGGCGCAGCGCGCGCCCACGGCTGCCCCTCGGGCCGGCAGAGCTGCGGCCGCGCGGAGCCCAGACTGCAGGCCGGGCCTCTCTGCGGAGCTCGGGCCTCGTCGCCCGGCGGCCCCCGGCCCTCTGCGGCCCGCGCCCGGCAGCGGCCGCCACTCACCTCCGTAGCCCTGCTCCATGTCTCCGACAAGGCCCGCCAGCAGCTCCTTTTTCTACGGTGCCACACGACGCATGCGCCCAAACGCACCTCCCGCCTTCCGCTGCTGGCAGACGGGCGTGCACGTCACCGCCAATGGCTGACCTTCCGGAAGACACGCCCCTCGGCGGGGCGGTGAGCCTTCCGGGTTGTTCAGGATTGGCGACCGCAGCCTCTCGGGAGCTGTGGTTGGCCCGCGGCGCGCTAGGCCCGACCGCACCCTGCTGCGCAGGCGCGCCCGTGCTCCCGCCGCCCTGCTGCGCAGGCGCCCTTGTTGCTGCAGCCTCGCCCCGCCCCTCTCCCTCCCGCACCAGCGTCCTCGCCCCGCCTCCTCCATCGCGACGTCATCACGCCGCCCCTTTGCCCTCGCCCCGCCCCCGGCGTCACGCCCCGCCCCCGGCACACACACAGAGGACCGAGCCTGCGATCATGGCGTTTATTGGACTCGACTGGCCGCCCCGCCGGCTCACGGCTCGCCCCCGCCGCCCTCCTCGTCGTCCTCCACGTCGAGCCCCGGGATGCCGCGGATCTGGCGCTGCAGCGCCCCGCCCAGCAGGGGCTCGCCCTCCTCCTCGTCCTCGGGCGGCGGCGGCGGCGGGGTCGCGGCTGCGGGCGTGGGCTCCGGGGGCGCGGGCGGCTGCGGCGGTGCGCCCTCCGGCTCGGCCTCGTCCGGCTCCTTGTCCTCCTCGGGGCCGTCGGTGAAGGGGTTCTCGCCCTGCGGGGACGGGGCAGGCTGAGGGGAGCCGGGCGGCATGCTGCCGGCACCCGTGACCCCATCAGGTCACCATGACCCCATCAGATCCCCCATAACCCAATCAGACCCTCCATAACCCCATCAGATCCTCCATGACCCCATCAGATCCCCCATAACCCCATCAGACCCTCCCATGACCCCATCAGATCCCCCATAACCCCATCAGATCCTCCATGACCCCATCAGGTCCTCCATAACCCCATCAGATCCTCCCATGACTGCATCAGGCCCTCCATGACCCCATCAGATCCCCCATAACCCCATCAGGCCCCCATGATCCCGCCTGACCCCCCATGACCCCATCAGACCCTCCATGACCCCATCAGGCCCCCCATAACCCCATCAGGCCCTCCATGACCCCATCAGGCCCCCCATGACCCCATCAGACCCCCATAACCCCATCAGGCCCCCATGATCCCGCCTGACCCCCCATGACCCCTCGGTACCCCCCATCTGACGCCCCCACCCTCGGTACCCCCCATCTGACGCCCCCACCCTCGGTACCCCCCATCTGACGCCCCCCACCCTCGGTACCCCCCTCACCTTCAGGTAGCGCTCTAGCTTCTGGCTGATGAGCTTGTTGTTGAGGATGCTGCGGGCCACCATGAGCGAGGACTTCTTGGACTGCTCCATCATGAGCTGCGGGCAGGGCGGGCAGGGCGGGCAGGCTGGAGAGGCTGTGCGGGACCCACCGAGGGGAGCCCGACAGACCCCGAGCAGGGCGGCCGCCCAGACCCTGCGCCCTCACGGGGAGGCTCCTGGTCCACCAGGGCCCCCAAGGCACGCCAGGGACACAGGAGGGCACCAGTGGACGCCGCACCGTTTTTCTCTGTATGTCCCACTGCCTTTCAGATAAACCTTACAAGAAAACCAAACCTGAAAACCTTCCCTCGCTCATTCCTTTTCCTGTACCCATCCTAAACTGGGGTTGGACGCGTGGACCACCGCCCCCGGGCAGGCTTCCCATGGGAGCCTTGCTTCCAGTCCTGGCCGCACCTGTTCCTGCCCGGCTCTCCGCTTGGCACGCGATGGCCAAATTAGTGTGGACCCGGATGGAGGCCCAGCCACGTGCCAGCTGAAAACACCCGAGGGTGGCTCTTCTCCACCCCCGTGTCACCCTGCCTTTCACACGGACCAATCTAAGAACGCACGCACACACACCAGTTCTAAGGCAATGGAACACTGCGAAGCGTGCGCGTGGTTTTTGGTTGAAGTGATAACCTCAGGCACGCCGTGTGCCCGCTGTAAGCTGCCCGAAGGGAGGCGTATGACGCCGGGCAAGGCTGCATGCCAACGTGGGTCGTTTCCTTCATGGCCGGGAATCCAGGCGCGTCTGACTTTCATCACCACGAAGCCGGAGCAGAATGGGCAGGTGGAGGAGCTGGGAGGACCCACCTGAGGGTCCCCCGGCCACAGAAAACCATCTAAGCACCCACACTCTCTCTCTCTCTCTCTCTCTTTTTTTTTTTTTTTTTTTTGACTTGTATGTTCCTTCTGCGCCGTGGGGCAGGACCCAGACATTGTAACACTCAGGGGTGCCCTTTCGATGGCCAATACAGCAAACACCTCTTCCCTCTGGGTGCCCAGACCCACACACACGCTGCAAAGCAAACCACGGTGGCCCACCCGTGTTGTTTCCACGATAACCAGATGTCACAAGAAACAACAGGAGCCCGGCAAGATAGCATAGTGGTTAAAGTCCTCGCCTCGCACGTGCCACGACGCCACATGGTCGCCGGTTCTAATCCCAGCGGCTCCACTTCCCATCCAGCTCCCTGCCTGTGGCCTGGGAAAGCAGTCAAGGACAGCCCAAAGTCTTGGGACCCTGCACCCACGTGGGAGACCCGGAAGAAGCTCCTGGCTCCTGGCTCCGGATCGGCTCAGCTCTGGCTATTGCGGCCACTTGTGGAGCAAACCAGTGGATGGAAGATCTTCCTCAATGTTCTTTTGTTCTTTTGATTTTTTCTTCTTTTTTTAATCTATATCTTTTCATTTCTAAAAATGTTTTTAGAGCTTCTTCTTTGTCTCTCCTCCTCTCTGTATATCTGCCTAATAAAAATAAATAAATCTTTAAAAAAAAAAAAAACAAAAACAACTTCACTGGGGCACGAGCCGAGACGCACACTGCCATATCATCCTCATGGACCCCACGCCTGCAAACCGCAGGAAGGGTCACGGATGCAGACGCCTCCGAGTTTGCTTTACAACAACACTAACATTATGTTTTTTCTGGTTTTTTGTTTTGTTAATATTTATTTATCTCTATTGCAAAGTCAGATCTACAGAGAGGAGGAGAGGCAAAGAGGAAGATCTTCCCTCTGATGATTCACTCCCCAAGTGAGCGCAACGGCCAGAGCCGAGCCGACCTGAAGCCAGGAGCCAGGAGCTTCTTCCTCTAGGTCTCCCACATGCGGGTGCAGGGTCCCAAGGCTTTGGGCCGTCCTCCACTGCTTTCCCAGGCCACAGGCAGGGAGCTGGATGGGAAGCGGAGCCGCCAGGATTAGAACTGGCGCCCATATGGGATCCTAGAGCATGTGAGGTCAAAAGTTTAGCAGCTAGGCTACCACGCTGGGCCCTCTATATTATGTTGAATGTAAGCAGATTCTATGAATTCTAAGAAGATTTTGCTGAAAGCACTCAGCTTTTATTTATTTATTTTTTAAAGATTTATTTATTTTTATTGCAAAGGTAGATTAACAGAGAAAAGGAGAGAGCGATCTGTCTGGTTCACTCCCCACGTGGCCACAACGGCCAGAGCTGAGCTGACACGAAACCAGACCCGGAGCTGCAGCCTCAATGGTTCTCCGGCGGGTTCTAGAAGGACGGTTCAGAGGAACCGGGCATGGGACTCCGGTGCCGAAGCATGCCAAGGCTCGACCGGACCCACTGCCCAGTGCAACCGACGCGAGCTACTCAGAAACGACCCGTTCGGTATCAGAAAGGCTGCTAAGGACCAACACCCAGTGCCGACATCCACCTGGGGGACATCATTAAGTTCAGGAGCGAGCGAGCGAGCGAGCTGGGATGTCTGACATGAGAACCAGCAGTTGAGCTGCATGACAACGCAGCCAGGCTGGCGGGCGCCCCCTGTGCCCAGCTCCCAGCGGACCCACCCGCATCCCACAGGGCTGCCTTGCGAGGTTAAGTTCTGAACAATGGAGCTGCGGTGGGAGGGAGGGCAGGTTCTTTCTCCCACCAGCCCCCCACGTGTGCCATGAAGGCTTGAAGCTGGGCATGAAGGCAGAGGGCAGTGTGGCCACGCGGCCCCGGCTCGCTCATCAACAAGAGGTCCCGTGCCAGGAGAGGCATCTCGATACAGCAACCCCTCAGAGAGAGGCGCTACCGCTGGCCCCATCTCCCGAGCCTGTACCCCTCCACCCCCAAGGCATTGCTGGCCTGCCCCTGGGAGGGCTCAACCTGTTCGGACAGAAAAAGTTGCCTCCGGGTTGTGCAATGGGGAGGTGAGGGGCAAGCTGGCTGGAATTCAACACTCCAGATCTGAAGTGATGGCGGGCATGGGGCAAGACACGCTAAGGCGACTGGCAGATCTGAAAGTGCCATGAGGCGAGGACAGCTGAGAACCAGAGACGCTCAGTGAAAGCCTGGGTTAGAACGGCCTCTCGGGAATCCCAAATCTCCCACCTTGTCACAAGCCATCCCGCCACGGAAGGCCAGTTGTCACTGGCAAGCAAGGCGCTCCCCAGAGCCATCAGCTAACAGCGCACGGAGGGTCACAGGTCAGCGTGGTCTGCAGGGAGACGGTCGCCAAGAGCCACGCCTGGAGACTCAGACCTGAAGCCCAGCCTTGCAGAAGCCTCCTCCGTGCAGCTTTGGAGCCCGGCATGGCTCAGGCTTACCCTGAAGCAAGGCCATCACTGCGTCACACTTAGAGAAGTGTCATAGAAAGCAGGTAGTTGGGCCCGGCGCGATAGCCTAATGGTTAAGGTCATTGAACACGCTGGGATCCCATATGGGCGCCGGTTCTAATCCCGGCAGCTCCACTTCCCATCCAGCTCCCTGCTTGTGGCCTGAGAAAGCAGTGGAGGACGGCCCGAAGCCTTGGGACCCTGCACCCACGTGGGAGACCAGGAAGAGGCTCCTGGCTCCTGGCTTCGGATCATCTCAGCTCCAGCCGTTGCGGCTTCACTTGGGGAGCGAACCATCAGATGGAAGATCTTCCTCTCTGTATATCTGACTTTCCAATTACAAAAAAAAAAAAAAAAAAGCTTGATAAAGAACTGCAAGTACATCAGGTACGAGGAACGCCCCCAAAAGACAAACACAGAAATGGCGAAAGTGCCAAGGGCAGAAGCTGCACAGCATCAGCTGTCCGGTCGAGCACTTAGAAAGGAGAAGCCCTGCCGGGGTCCCAAGACTGCTCCCCACAGACGGGGCTGGGGTTGGGGGGCCGTGGATGCAAACGTCAGACAGCTCCAGGGAGGGGGGCTCTTACCCTAGATGCCTCTGCCTGGCCTAGGAACAGCAGAGCAGACATTCAAAGGTCCACAGAGGCCCAGCGTGTGTCGCTGGGAGACCTCCCTGGGGGAACATCCAAGGGGTGCTTCAGGCTGCAAGTGATGAGCCCTGAGCGACACAGGACTCCACCCACCCAGGAGAGTGCTCCAAGCAGGTGCATGGCAGCCCATCATCAGCTCACGCTGCTGCTGCTCGCATCCTGGGGGGCTGAAGGAGCAACCACACAGGACTGCTAAGGCAGGTGGCTAACTGTATAACGCCAAGGAGATGGGGAAAGGGCGGCGGGGATGCAAAAGCTCTCCTGGGCAGGAAATGACCACAGATGGCATCTCGGATCGGCGAGAGCGAGCGAGAGAGAGAGAGAGACAGACAGACAGAGAGAGAGAACAAAGGCTGACATGTCTGCTTTCCTGCCTTACCTAGCGACTTGCCAAGACAAAGGTGTGCAACGCGGTAATTGACAGGCACTGCACGAGACAGAAAAGTTATATGCAATGCCATCCTGGCAGTGCCCCGCTGCCACGTGGGAAGCTGCGGACCAAGAACTGGGCTGTCCCACGTCGAGCGACCTTGTGCTGAAGCTGGACCCGGACGGGAGAGGGGGGCCCAGGAAATGCGACAATGCCTTTTCCTGTCCGTAACTTTCTTCATCTCTGTGGCCCTGCTGGGACAGCACAGTCACACAGCCACAGTGACATTTGAAGCACAGGAACGTTACTCAAGACTTTTAATAGATTTGCCAAGTTTAAAAAAAAAAAAAAAAAAACCTTCAATCTTATTGGAACTTAAGTTATGATATTTGAAGCAGATTTTTGAGAAGTTTGTGTAGATTTAAAAGAAAAGACCTAGACAAGCGATTAAGGAAGTAATGTCAACAAATGTAGTGGGAAGGGCCCGGCGTGGTAGCCTAGCAACTGGGGCGTCCAGCTCTTGCACGCCCCAGGATCCCATATGGGCATCAGTTCTAATCCCGGCACCCCTGCTCCCCTCCAGCTCCCTGCCTGTGGCCTGGGAAAGCAGTGGAGGACGGCCCAAAGCCTTGGGACCCTGCACCTGCTTGGGAGACTCAGAAAGAAGCTCCTGGCTCCTGGCTTCCGATTGGCTCAGCTCCGGCTCTTGTGGCCACATGGGGAGTGAATCATCGGACGGAAGATCTTCCTCTCGGGTTATCTTCCTTTTCAATACAAACAATTTTTTCTTTTTTAAAAAAAGATGCACACAAGAACGGTAATACGAAAGACATGATTTTCAAAGTGATGAGCGGGTCCACGGCACAGGAGGATAGAACGTTCCTAAGCACAGATGCAGCTCAAAGAGCACCAGGCATCGAAGAGGAAGTTCCGCCTGAAACAGGCATAATTCAGCAAGAGTAGCTGCTCCCAAGGAGAAGCTTGGCAGGAGGGCACCCACCGAGGAGACAAGCACAGGTCCCTCGGCCTACGAGAACGCCCTGCACACCTGCCTTTTTTTTTTTTTTCTTTTTAAAGATTTATTTATTGATTGGAAAGTCAGATATACAGAGAGGAAGATCTTCCGTCCGATGATTCATTCCCCAAGTGAGCCGCAATGGCCGGAGCTGAGCCCTTCCGAAGCCAGGAACCAGGAACTTCTTTCTGGGTCTCCCACGCGGGTGCAGGGTCCCAAGGCTTTGGGCCGTCCCCCACTGCTTTCCCAGGCCACAGACAGGGAGCTGGATGGGAAGTGGAGCTGCCGGGATTAGAACCAGTGCCCATATGGGATCCCGGCCTGTTCAAGGTGAGGACTTTAGCCGCTAGGGCACGCCGCCGGGCCCTACACACCAGCTTTACAACTGCACAGAAGCAGTGCCAGCAGGGGCCACATGCCAGGTCCTATGTCAAGCCTCAACAAAAACGGACTACATCCATGTTTCTCAACCGCATGGGACAGAATTATCAAGCAGGGGGCCAGGAGTTGTGGGCTAGTGGGTTCAGACGCTGCTTGCAGCGAATACAAGCACCAGCGGGAGTGTTGCTTGCTCCACTTCCCACCCCGCTCTCCGCTCATGCTTTGTGGCCCGAATGCCTGGGTCCCCGTGACCCACGGGGGAGACCTGCCTTAAGTTTCTGCTTCCTTTCTCAGGCCCGCCCTAGCTCTGGCTGCTGAGGCCGTCTGACGAGTGAACCACCAGATGGAAGATCTCTCTCTCTCTCTCCATCGTCTCCATCTCTTCCTCTCTCCGTAAATTTGCCTTCCAAATAACTAAATGTATATTTTTAAAAAGTGGATAAAGCAGTAACAAAAGAAAGTGGGGGTAATTAATCAATCACGTGTCAACTACACACAGAAACTTCTGGCACGCAGAAAAGCAGATACTCAGAGGGAAGAAAAAAAAAAATCATGCGTCTACCTTAAAAAAAGAACATTTCAAAACAACAACGTAATCTTTGGTTTCCTGAGAAATTAGAAAAACAAGTGAACGGCAAACTGAGAAAGTAAGCGGAAGGAGAAAGGACTAGGACAGGAATTAAGGAAGACTTAAAAGAAAAAAGTCAATGAAATAAGATGTTTGTTCTTTCAAAATCAAAGCATCAATAAACCTTTAGCACAAATTACCCACAAAGGGTTGGCGATGTGGCCTAACGAGCTCAGCCACTGCTTGCAATCCTGGCTGCTTCGCTTCCAACCCAGCTCCCTGCTAACGCGCCTGGAAAAGCTGCCTACGATGGCCTAAGTATCTGGGACTCCTGGACTCACCTAGGAGGACAGGGCAGAAGCAGCCGGCTTCAGCCAAGCCCAGCCCTGGGCGGGTGGTGAACTAGTGGATGGGAGATCTGCCTCTCGCTCTCTCTCTCTCTCTATAGAACTCTGTCCTTCAAAAATCAACAATTTTTTCTTTTTTTGAAATCACCAAGACTCAAATAACTACAACTGGATAAGAAAGGGGGGAATACCAACATTGTGGAAAATCAAAGAAAATTGTAAAGCAATACTGTAAGCAAGTATGTGCCAATAGATTAGAACTTCTAGAAAGACGCGAACTACTGAAACTGACTCACACTGGAAACACACGTAGCAGACGTTGGTTGAATTCAAAACAAAACTGTCTACCAACACACGCCCAGGTGGCTTCGCAGGGGACTCTCCAGAGCCCTCATCAAGCCAGGAGAAGGCAGAAGACAAACTAACTCATTGTAGGGGGCCAGTGGTACCCTCACACCAAACCTGAACAAACACATCCCAGACAAATACCCATGGAACCAAGCTGATACAGGAGAGTGATGGCACCCTTGCCCTGGTCAGCCATGTACCACCGACAATGCCAACATATACAACCGGATGCCTCTTACTGGGACAATAAAACTAAAACCGTGTAAGTATTCTTACGCATGCAGGGAAAAAAAGCATTTGGCAAAAGCCTTTTAGATCAAAAGTTCTAACAGCAAAGGGACAGAAGAGATAGAGAGGAAGATCCTCTGTCCGATGATTCACTCCCCAAGTGGCCACAATAGCCAGAGCCGAGCCCATCCGAAGCTAGGAGCCAGGAGCTTCTTCCGGGTCTCCCATGCGGGTGCAGGGTCCCAAGGCTCTGGGCCGTCCTCCACTGCTTTCCCAGGCCACAGGCAGGGAGCTGGATGGGAAGTGGAGCTGCCGGGATCAGAACCGGCGCCCATATGGGATCCCAGCGGTGTATTCAAGGCAAGGGATTTGGCTGCTAGGCTACCGTGCTGGGGGCCCCCCATTTCTCACTTTCAAATGCTGCTGGGAGAACAGAGGAGAAGCCGGGTCCTTACCTCGCATTGCCTGACACTGAAGGCCTAGCTGTAAAAGCTAAAAAGACATACAATTTTAGCAGGACACATAGGCGAGAAATCTGGAATGAACCAACAGATTTTCAGGCATGACACCCAAAAACACAAACACAAGGAACTTTTAAAAAATGGGTGGCAGGATGGGGCCTTTGCATTGAGCAGATCGCTGGAGTCACTGCTTGGGATGCCCACACCCAGGCTGCCGGTGCTTGGTTCGAGTCTCGGCTCATCTCTCAAGCCAGCTCCTTGCTAACGGCTAACGTGTGTCCCTGGAGCTAACAGGTGATGGCTCGGGGACTCGGGTCCCTGCCACCCAAGTGGGTGACCTGGATGACATCCCGGCTCCTGACTTGGACTCCGATCTGGCTTTAGTTGGTGGCTAGTAATGGCATCAGGGGAGTCCAGCAGCGGACGGAAGATCTCGCTGTCTCTAAGTCTCCATCTCTCTACCTTTCAAATAAGACGAAATTAACTCACAGATCGAGAAAAAATACAAATTATACCAAAGAAGGAGCCTATATCTAAGTATGTAAAGAATTCTTATCATGAAGAAGAAGAAAAAAAAAGCCACAGAGTTTAAAATGAGCAAGTAACCTGAACAGGTATTTTCTGCCAACGGGGCTGTAACAAGAGGCTCCCCGCCACTAGCGGCCAGGGAGGTGGCGGTCACAGGGCACAGTCGCTGCAGCCGGGGTGGCCAGGTCCCAGGTCAGACGCTAGCTAGCCAGGGTCGCTGAGTGTAGAGACAGCAGAAGGCTGCTGCCTCGCGGAGGCGAATGTAAACGCCAACAGCGGCTACGGAAAACTCCCCGTTTGATCCAGACATGCCATTTCTAGAGAGACAACGAGGAAGAACCCAAAACGCGCCCGTTCCACATCAAGACCTGCACAGAGGCATTCCCAGGAGCAGGGTTCCTAAGGGCTGACAGGTGTCAGCAACGCATGCGCTCACGCGGAGATGCCACAGTAGCGCAGCAACCTTGGAAACGTCAGGCTTTAGCCCAAGAGGGCAACCAACCCCACAAGACCAGCCCCGCAAGGAGATTCTGTTTACGGACGACCACACACCTACGGGAGACTAGCAGGTGCTCAAGGCCGAGGGAGGATGGAAGGCCGCGAGAGGCTAGAGAGAAGGAACTTCTTTCCCAAGCAATCAAAATGTGGCCTGATCGACTGTGGTGATGCCAGTGAGACTGAATACATCAGAGGTTGATGAGCCGTTGCCTTGAATGGGTAAACAGCGTTAAACTGTGTCTCTCAGTAAAGCTTTTTTTCCAAAAATAATTAGAAGCTTTCTACTGATTTCTATAGCCTGGGATGAAACAAACCAACCAAAAATACACACTGGAAATGCATCCATTTCTGTAACCATCTCCTTGTGGCATCTGGCGAATCGTTTTTCTCATCCTTCCAGATCTTTCCATGGGTTACGAGCTACTCTGCCCGTTTCAACAACTTCTTTCAGGACCAATCTTTATATGTTACCAATCTTTATACGTGAATATATCTTTATATGTTAACAATCCCTCATGTCCCCTTGGTTTTTTCAAAAAAAAAAAAAAATTTCCACTGATGCCAATGAGTTCCATCTCCACCAATTTTCTCTTTCCTCATATTTAGGGGTTTGGAACCCAGGAATCTGCTTGGCAACAGCCCCCCGCTTTTTTTTTCTGCTGCCAAAGCCAATGGATGCCTCTCTTTACTCCTGCAAGCCTCAGTCCCTGCACCCCAGATGGAACGCTAAACCTAGACCCCCAACATGACTGCCCAGGCAGACCGGAGATGACAAACCCTGAGCACGGAAGAGGCAACGGTCAGCCGAGGTGCTGTCCTCTGCCGCCATGATGCCAGCCAGACCTGCCCCTGGGTCCCCGGGCCTCTCTCCTTACGGCCGCACAGCAGCCCGAGCCCGACCTCGTCTCTTAGCCACCCCTAGCCTGTTCACGCACAAATCACCCACCCTGGCTTCCGCGCTGTGCCCTGCAGGTGCGTTCTGCATTGGAAAACCAGAGAAAGCGTGCTCATTTCCCTTCCGAAGCCTTTTCTTTTTCTTGACCGCACCCTCCCTCCCCACACACAGAGGGTCCCCAGGCTCCACGACATGGTGAGCTAGAGTGCAGCTGCCAGGAAAGGAGTCCAACCTCTCTCTCTCTCTCTTTCTCTCTTTCTCTCTCTCTCTGGGAACTCAGGCTGCTACACAGCGATGCGTGTTTTTTTTTTTTTTTACCTGCTGTGACGCATGGGCTGGGAGGATGCTCGGGGCAGGGCCTTCCCAGGGGCTGTCTGCCTACCCGCACGCCGGAGGCCCGCCCTGTGGCCACTCACCCTGCGGTTCCGGTTGTGCTCCATGGTTTTCAGGTGCTTCTGGATAATGCCAAACTGCATGGGAATGAGGAGGTCGCAGGCCGCGCAGTGGGCTGCCTCAACCTTTTTCACAAAATGCTCCATGGCGATTTCTGTTGGGGGGTGGTGGAGGTGGAGGACAAAGAGGCTGTCACCGCTGGTCCCAGATGTCAAAGCAGACTCAAAAACAAGGACAGGTGTGGGCATCTGGCCAAGCAAGTGGGATGCCACCCAGGACTCCCACATCTCCTATTAGAGTGGCTGGTCCTGGGCCTGGAGCAATAGCATAGTGGTCAAAATCCTCGCCTTGCACTCCTGGGATCCCATATGGGCACCGCTTCTAATCCTGGCAGCCCCGCTTCCCATCCAGCTCCCTGCCTGTGGCCTGGGAAAGCAGTGGAGGACGGCCCAAAGCCTTGGGACCCTGCACCTGCATGGGAGACCCAGAAGAAGCTCCTGGCCCCTGGTTTCAGATTGGCTCAGCTCCAGCCGTTGCGGCCGCTTGGGGAGTGAACCATCGGACGGAAGATCTTCCTCTCTGTATATCTGCCTTTCCAATAAAAAATAAATAAATCTTAAAAAAAAAAAGAGTGGCTGGTTCTGCTCCCAATTTGCTGGGAATGGAGACCCTTGGAGGCGAAAGGGGATGGCTCCAGTTCCACGGGAGACACGGAGCAGCTCCTGGCTCTGCCCTGCCACCTCCGGGTAGACCCGACGGGCCCTCAGAGACCCAGAGGAGGGCAGGCTGACGCCCTGCCTGGCTGGCTGGGGCTGGAAGCGCCCTCACCTTGGGTCAGGTCCTGGTCTCTGTAAATCTGCTGGATCAGACCATCAAGATCCTCGACGGTTTTTCGGAGCTCCTCTGTCTTCTTGGTTTTGTTGGTGACGTATTCCTACCAGAGACGCACTCCTGTTGGTGACCGGGAGCAGACCCCAGGGGGACCGTCCCCCCCTCACCCCCCGAGACACTAGAGCCAGCCACTGCCGCGCCAGGCTCACCTGCAGGAAGTCGCCTGTCTGCTTCGGGAGCTTGGTGCCTACATACTTAAAGTGCTCCTTGTGGAACTTGCTATCCAGGTGGCTGGCCATCTCATCTTCGTACAAGGTGCGGTATTTGCAGAGGGAACACGCAAACTGGATCCTGCCACGGGAGGGAAAGAGAGGGGGCTGAGGTTGTACGGGTCCCCGGGGAGCAGTGCTTGCCGCCTCACCCAACCCAGCTGCGGACCCTGGACCAGCAGGCCTTTGCTCGCGGGCCTCTGAAGTGCCATCCCAGCAGAGGGCCAGCCTGGGACTGGTGGGGCTGGGAGGAGACAGGGCCAGGAAGCCTGCGGGCTGCAGTTACGGCAACACAGGGGGGACAGGGAGGAGCTTTTCCCTTCCCACAGGCAGCAGGCAAGGAGTCTCTTGACGATTTGTTGGACGGCCTCGACCGACCGAGGTCCAGCTGGGGACCGGGAGGGAAGGATGTCACCCGGCGTGAGCCAGGTGGCCCCGACGTGCAGAGTGAAGGACGCAGTCCCGAGGCCGTGCCCGAGAAGGTGCTGTTGCATCTGAGGCGGCCAACGACCCAGACCATCCTCTGCTCAGAACACTCGGGGGTGGGGGGGATGATGTCGGGTTGGGGAGGGTTAACGGGAGGCACGGCAGGCCTGGGCACCTGCTGCCTCATCTTCCTCTTCTGAGAAGAGACCAGTCTGAGCTGGAAGGAGGTGCCCGCTCGGCGTGCCAGAGGGGCAGCCTGGATCACCCCTGGGCCAGGTGCTCTGTCGCCCAGGGTCTGGGGCCTGGGCTGGAGCAGGCCGCCGTGGTGGCAAGGGGCGGAGGAGGCCAGCCGCCGCCGCCGCCGCCGAAAGACCTCGGGGCGGGTCCCTACCTCTGCCGGACGTCCTTATCTGGGCCACACGGGGGTCAGCTTTGTCTGGAGAGCCCAGGGGCCGGGCGCCGGCGAGGCTGAGGAAGGTCCAGCAAGAGCAAGAGTCTGAGGCGGAGGAGGAGGAGGAGGAGGCAAGCGCCAGTGCGGGAGCCCTGAGGGCAGACAGACCCGACCAAGGGGGCGTGAAGGGCTCCACATCAGACAGGCCCGGCCTGGTGGGGCCGGCCGGTGGGCAAGGCAGAGGCAGGCCTGAGGCTGCCACAGCCCACAGTAGCTGTGCCATCTCTCCTGGGCACGGCGGCGGCCTCCTGGCAGCTAGCTGGGGGGGGTGGTGGTGGACACAGCGCGTGGACCTTGAGTCTCCGGATGAGCAGGCCCCCTCCCTCGGGGGCATGGGCCCCCCAGTAAACCTAGCGCCGGAGCTCCTGGGCAACGGTGGTGCCGAGCAGTGGTCGGATTCCCCTGGCCCACAGAGATGACAGCGGTCGCCAGGCGGCCACACGGGGACAGGGGAAAGCAAGGCAGCCCTTGGGAGCTGGGCCTGTGGTGGGAAGCAGGGTCCATGCACGGCCGAGCAGGTAGCAACTCCCAAGGGAGGCCCGAGAGCGGCGAGTTGGCAGAGCTAACAGCCCTGTTCCGCTGGCGGCAGCCCCGGATGAGAGGCCGAGTGAAGGGACGGAGCGAGGCTTGGTTACCTTTCCACCATACGGTCTCGCTGGCGCTTCTTCTGCTTGTCCTGATTCTTCTTGCCTGCCTGCAGCTTGCGTTTGACCTGACCATTTTCATCCTGGGCGCTCAGGGCCCCTGTGGGAAACAGAAGGGTATATACGGTCACCAGCTCAGCTCTGCCGAGCCGGCGGCAGGTGCTACGGCTGGCTGAGTCACCCAGTGTCCACGCCAGAGCATCCTTGTGAGAGCACCTGCTGTCCACGCAAGGCCTTGGGCCACAGGCAGGGCAGCAGGGGTGGGGTATACCCTGATCTGGGCAGGGAGTGGCTGTGGCCTCGGCCTGAGGAGATGGCGGGGGTGGGGGGGCGGCCTCACACTGACCCCTTCACTCGCCAGCCATGTCCCTGCTCTCCGGCAGAGCGGGCCACGGGGGGGAGGCTGGGTGGCGAAAAGAGGCAGAGTGCAGGGAGGCCGCTCACATGGCCCTGCCCACCCCCCCCACCGGGCACCGCGGCAACAGTGGGGCTAAGGCTGGATGTACTGCAAGGTACCTGCTGGCGCTCATCGCTCAGGTGGGGGGACACGGACTCCCAACAGGGGCTGGAGAGGCGCTAAGGGAGAGGACACGCAAACCAGAGGCGTAAAAACCGCACCGAGGCTCCCGGCTCAGACACCACCAGCCCACTGAGGACTTGGTAGGACACATTTGACTCAGGGGACAGAAGGCTGGGGGTGGCGGGGGGGGGGGTGGGAATGCCTGGGCGGGGGAGGGCGGGGGGCTCCCCGCACTTTGTTTGCTGTCCCCATCAGAAGGGAAGACCGACGCGGCAAGGACAAGGTCGGGGAGGCCCCGGGTGCCAGGGAGGGCCTGGCAGGCCACCCGCGCGTGCCTCCCCCGCCTCCATCAGCAGCAGCTGGAACAGCTGGCCCACCAGGAATCCAGACTCACCTTTCTCCATATCTTCCTTCCCTTCTTCTCGTCCGTCTTCTCTTCTCTCCTCGTCCTCTCCTTCCTGACACACAAATCCATGAGCTCATGTTAAAACGGTGTGACCGTTGGTTTTGGGTTTCTTTGATGGAACCACCAAGAGACAGGCAGGCACATGCAGAGAAATCTTCCGGTTTCTGTTCACCCCCACCCCCCAAACGGCCAGATCCAAGCTGAGGCCAGGAGCCCAGGAGCTCCGAACTTCATCTGGGGTACCTCCATGGTGCCACGACCCCAGATACTTGGGCCATCCTGCACTGCCTTTCCCAGGCCCATTTGCAGGGAGTTGGATTAGAAGTGGGGCAGCTGGACCTAGAACCTGTGCCCAGATGGGATGCTGGCACTGAAGGATGAGGCTTAACACATCGCGCCCTCATGCCGGCCCCTTGCTATACTCATTTAAAATGTCTTTTTTGAGCCTGGTGCAGTAGCCTAACAGCTAAAGTCCTCGCCTTGCACATGCTGGAATCCCATGTGGGCGCTGCTTCTAATCCTGGCAGCCCCGCTTCCCATCCAGCTCCCTGCCTGTGGCCTGCGAAAGTAGTCAAGGACGGTCCAAAGCCTTGGGGCCCTGCACCTGCATGGGAGACCCAGAAGAGGCTCCGGGCTCCTGGCTTCGGATTGGCTCAGCTCTGGCTGCTGATGGAAGGTCTTCCTCTCTGTCTCTCCTTTTCTCTGTGTATCTGACTTTGCAATAAAAATCAAATCGATCTAAAAAAAAAAATAAATCAATACAAAAAGAAAATGCCTTTTAGTGACAAGGCCTAGCTCACCACCCTGACCCAGCCCTCCCGCTGCTCGGGGCTCCCCAGAAGGTTAGGCAACTGACACATGCCACCGGGCGGGCCTGCCTCTGGCCGCGCCAGCCACCACGCGCGCAGAGCACGCGAGCTGGGTCTGCAGGGTCCCCCCCCCAACCCGCAAAGACAGCAGCCCGGGCCCAGAGGCTACTTACGGCTCTGGAGCCCTTCTCTGCCACCTCAGGGCCTTCAGCGCCTTCTGTAGCCTCTCCCTCGGTACCATCATCTGCGAGGAGACAGAGGAGACGGGCTCAGCCTCGGCGCTCCACGGGCGCGTGGGTGCCACGGGCCCAGGGCTGCCACTCACCATTGTCCGAGTCACTGTTATCTGAGCCATCTGTCCGGGGAGTCTTGCCATCCGGCTCGTCAGGGTTGACGCCTTGCTTTCTCTTCTTTTTCTTGGTCTGGGCCAAAAGAGAGAGAGAGAGAGAGAGAGAGAGAGAGAGAGAGAGAGAGAGAGGTGGTGGGGAGGGGCGCTGGGTCACGGAGCGTGCCTTCACCGCAGCTGGGAGGCCGGGACGAGGCAAGGTCTGTCTACTCACCCGGAAGTCGGCCGTGGTCCAGGTCTTCCAGGTTCGCCTCATCTGCTTCATGCCATTGCCAAACCCGAAGCCCAGGCGAGAGCCAGCAGGGAAGGTGCCCCCGCCGCGCATGCCCTGGAACATGCCGTACTCGGGGATGATGTTCTGAGAGAAGAGGGAAGGCAGCCGGGGGGCACCAGGCATGCACTGGCCCCGGGCCCCCATGGGATCTTCCCACACGCGCCCATAGCCTGATGCCACTGGCCGTCCGCTCCGGGCATCCCGGGCCCAGCCCTGAGCCCTCGGACCAAAGGTGTCGCCGCCACGCATGCGGAACTGGTCACGGTAGGCATCGTATTGGCCCTCATAGGCCATGTCCATCTCGGGGTCAAGCTCGCCATAATCATAGGCCGACCGGTACAGGTCACGCTCGCTCAGGACGGCTCTAGAGTCACAGGTCTCATAGGGGTCATATCTGTAGAGACAGTGGCAAGCGTCAGGTGGGGCCCCATCAGTCTAGGACCACAAGCAAGCTGGCCCTGGTCAAACCAGCTGTTCCTGTCCCCCCCGCCCACCTCCCACACCTGGCCACAGACAGCCCAGCTCCAGCACCCACACCACTGTCAGACAGGTTCCACGTTTAGAGGGGCTGGGGCGGGAGGGCCAATGGGAAGAGAGCCTCATGTCAGATGGGCCCCCACTGCCCCAAGGTCAATGTCAACCCGTGTTGTCAGGCAGGTGTAGGGAGTACTCCACCCATGTGGGGGGCGGGGGGTAACATCCACGAAAACAAACGGGCTGGGCTACTCTCCTCCCTGCCAGGCCGAGTCCCCTAGGCCCTCCCAACCCAGCAGACGTGAGACCAGACGGGCAGCGCCGTCCAGGAAAAGAGCAGGGACCAGTGCGTGCTCCGTCCCTTCACGCACGAAGCCCAGGACTGAGCAGATCTCCTGGGCTAAGATACAGATGACAGAACTGTGGCTGCAGCCCGGGCCCTGAGGGGCCTTCTCGAATTTTCCCTCCCTGGCCTGGGTCTCAGCAAGACCTCAGCGGACCGGGAAGCGCCAACACTATCATTCCTCTTAGCCCTGCCCCCTGGGCTTCTAGCTGGGTGGGGACTTGAGGCAAGGCCAGCAAAGCTCTCCTCCACCACCGCCCCTTCTTCTGCCCTGCAGTGGCTCCGGGCCCCACCTGGCCACGCACCTCTGCTCTCTCTCTCCCCTATCCCCATGGGGCAGGAGCCAACCAGCTGCTCTATCCGATCCCATGTCATCAGAGCCTGTTCTCTCACCGGGGCCCATGACAGGGGCCGCTGGCTGAGGATCTGGAGTGGGGCACAAGGGGCCCAGGCCACCCCACTCGCTGGGTGCCTTTAGGCAAGGGATGTGTCCCACCCGGCCTTCCGTTCTTTCGATGTGCAAGCTAAGAACACAGCTCCTTGTGGGGTGGGCTGGGGGAGGAGTGCCTCCAAGGAGTAAGCATTTGCAAGGTGCCAGAGCGACCAGGAAGGAACCCATCTCTTCCCTGTCCCTTACAAGGGATGACCCAGTTGGAAGCAGTCCCCGCCACCCTTCTCACCAAGGCCCATGTGTCCCTGGAGGGAGGGCCGCGGAACACTCTGCTTCGGGGGGGAGCCATGCTGAGGGTACAGAGGCGCCTCCCAGTCCAGGCTCGCTCCTCCTGCAAGCTGGGGGAGAAGCCAACCAACCACCTAGCACTGGGGGTACGGCAGGGATGGGCAAAGGAGACCCAGGTCAGAGGAGGCAAGTACAAAGGGCCCCATCATCAACAGTGTCTCTGGATGCCCCAGCGGCGGCGGCAGCAGCAGCAGCAGCAGCAGGCAAGGAGGGGGAGGAAGCCAAGAGAGGCGCATTCAGACAGGATGATGGCAGCGGGCAGCGGGCAGCGGGCAGTGGGCAGTGGACAGGAGCTGCCCATGCCCAGGCTCAACCCCCAGGCGGGCGGCCGACTCACCTGTCCCCGCTGGAGCCGTACACGCCTCCTTGCATCACCTCTGTCTCCATGGGCGGCACCATATCTAAGCGCTGGTTCATTCTGGATAAAACGGAATCGGCACTGGCGCCACCCGAGGCACTAGGGTTTGCATTGGTATCAGAGCTAGGCATTTCCCAAGAGTTGGAAGTGGCCATACCATACCCATAGTTGCTGCTGTTATCCTGGCCGTAGCCATAACCATAGCCATAGTTCTCATAGCCTGCAGTGAGGGAGACAGAGACACAGATGGCGGGGGCAGAGACGGGACACACAGGCAGGGCATGGAAACGAGGGGGTCTTCTAGGAATCCCAGAGATGGCATGGGGATGCGGGTGGGGGTGCGAGGGGAGAGGGAACCCAGCTATTCCAGTAGGAACCTCCCATGAGCCTCCAAAGCCCTCCCCTGGCCCCCCCCCCCCGAATCCCACCGCTGGCTACACTGGGCATTGAGTGGCACGGGGACCACAGACTCCAGTATCATGGAAATGACACTTGCCTCGATTTGTCCCAGAGTTCCAAGTTCCATAGCCTGCAGAGAAACGAAAGAGCATGGATGCCTGAACCCCTCTCACAAAGCGGGAAGCAGCTGGCAGCGGGAGTGTGCTGCCCTGGCACCGGGCCTGCTCCGAACGGTCCCCGGGGACCAAGGTGGCTCCCGCTGGGATGAGGAAAAGGCCTGTAGGCCCTGCAGCTAGCCCCTGCGGGTAGCGAGCTGACCTGCTTTGTACCATTTTGCACGGGGTTGCATACGCGGCGGCCTGGTGCGCTCTAGCCACGCCGAGCTCACGCCACTCGAGTCACCCAGTCGAGTCGCGTGCGGGCAGGACCATGAAGTTCAGCCAAAAGTTAACAGGACGGAAAAGCCTGGGGCTGCTCTGCCCAGGGATGGGGCAAGACGTGTGTATACAGGTAAGATGTTCAATGGACAAAATCAAACTTTTCTTTTTAATCGGTGTTATTTGTTGCAGGGACCTGCAGCACCTGCTGCTTCATTCCCCAGACGCCTGCAACAGCCCGAGTCACGAATTCCACCCATGGCACGACACAGGGCTTGGCACCGTGGCGTAGCGGGTTAAGCCTCCGCCTGCGGGACTGGCATCCCATACGGGGCGCTGCTTCAACTTGTGCTACCCCACTTCCAAGCCAGCTCCCGGGTGGAAGGCCCAGCAAAGCAGCGAAAGATGGGTCAAGTGTTCAGACCCCTGTACCCCATGTGCGAAACCTGGATGAAGAGCCCGTGTCTTGCTTCAACTGAAACCAGTTTCTCTGCTAACTCTTTCAAATAAATTCATCTTGGGCCCAACAGGATGGCTCAGTGGCTAAATTCCTCGCCCCGTACGCGCCGGGATCCCATATGGGCACCAGTTCATATTCCGGCTGCTCCACTTCCCATCCAGCTCCCTGCTTGTGGCCTGGGAAAATAGTCCAAAGCCTAGGGATCCTGCACCCATGTAGGAGACCTGCAAGAAGCTCCTGGCTCCTGGCTTCGGATGGGCACAGCTGGGGCCACTGAGATCACCTGGGGAGCGAACCAGCAGACGGAAGATCTTTCTCTCTGTCTCTCCTCCTCTCTGTATATCTGCCTTTCCAATAAAAACAAATTAATCTTAAAAAAAAAAAAAGAAGAAGAAGAATAAAAGAAATACCATGTTGATGGACCAGAAAGCTTGGTACTCTTAAGATGTCAAACCTTGGGACTGGCCTGAGGGCTCCATGGCTAATACTACCTGTAAGAGCTGGGATCCCACAGGGGCACCAGTTCATATCCCAGCTGCTCCTTTCCCTTCCAGCTCCCTGCCTGTGGCCTGGGAAAAGCGGTGGAGGACGGCCCAAAGCCTTGGGACCCTGCACCTGTGTGGGAGACCCGGAAGAGGCTCCTGGCTTCAGATCAGCTCAGCTCTGGCCACTGGGGCCGCTTGGAGAGTCCATCAGCGGATGGAAGATCTACCTGTCTCTTTTCCTCTCTGTGAATCTGCCTTTCCAATAAAAATCATCTTAAAAAAAAAAAAAAGCCAAGTATACCAAATTAATCTCTAGAGTCTACAGTTTCAACAAAATCTATAAATCCATCTCCGTTAAAATCTCAGCAGGGATTCTTTTTGCTAGTTACGATTATTTAGTTATTTATTTCAAAGGCAGAGTTGCAGGGGGGGTGTGGGGGGGGGAGGGATACAGAGGGCGGGGCCTTCCATCTGCTGCTCCATTTTCCAAAAGCTTGTGATGACTGGAGCTGGTCCGAAGCCAGGAGCCAGGAGCTTCCTCATGGCCTCCCGCGTGGCCCCTGGGACTCGAGCACGCTGGCCGTCCTCTGCTGCTTTCCCAGGTGCAGCAGCTGGCAGCTGGATCACAAGTGGAGCAGCCGGGACTCGAACCATTGCCCACATTGCATGCCAGCACTGCTGGCGGTAACTTGACTTGCTATACCCACAGCGGCAGCCCGAGCAGGAATTTTTTTGTTTTTAAAGATTTCATTATTTTTATTGGAAAGATTTACAGAGAGGAGGAGAGACAGAAAGATCTCCCATCCATTGGTTCACTTCCCAAATGGCCACAATGGCTAGAGCTGAGCCGATCTGAAGCCAGGATCTGGGAGCTTCTTCCGGGTCTCCCACGCGGGTGCAGGGTCCCAAGGTTTTGGGCCGTCCTCCACTGCTTTCCCAGGCCACAGGCAGGGAGCTGGATGGGAAGTGGAGCAGCCTGGACATGAACCGATGCCCAACTTGGATCCTGGGCATGCAAGGGGAGGACTTTAGCCACTAGGCTATTGTGTCGGGACCTCATTAGGAGTTGTTTTTGTTTTTGTTTTAAATACAAACTGATTCTAACACTTTTCTGTGCAAAAGCAAAGGAACTAAAATACCCAAGACAATTTCGGACAAAGAACAAACCTACGACAGGTCCACTGGCTCATTTCATACTTACTATACAACAATGAAGGCACTGGGATCCTGGAGAAAAATTTAGATAGAGAAATCAATTGAATATAGAGGTAGCAGAGTCCAGAAATGGGAACGCCTCACAGGGTCCCCTTCGCAAAGGCGCAAAGGCTGCTTGGTGGAGGGGGACCATGGCGCTGGGACACCTGTGCCCCCACTAAGGTGGCCCCGGGCCTCCTTATACTGGGCACCTTTACCGAATCTAAGTGGGAGTGGATTAAGGCTAACCGGAAGTTGACTGCAACCTTGGGTAACGCACAGGCTTGGGCGAAGCTAACATCCCAACCCACAGAAAGAAAGATGGGCCAACAGGACCACATTAAGCATTAAGACTGAAAAGGCACGACAAGAATTAAAATATCAGTCACAGTCTGGAAGGAAAAAAAAAATTTTTTTTTCAGGTGGCCCTTCCAGCGAAAAACTCAGGCCCAGGTCATTTCTTGAAACCCTGGAAAGAAAGTGTGTGTTAAGAGATGGGTATTTTTGGGACAGTATTTGATTAACGAAATGGAATGGCAGGGAAGGCGGGATAGGAAAGCCACCCAAAGCTAAGTAAACATCTCCCAGCTCCTTATTCAATTTCAAAGCTTTGTTAAGTGTCCACTTTCCCTGCAACTAACAGGTCATCCCCAGGGCACTGACCTGACTCAAGTTCATTTGCTCAGCCTCTCCCTGGGCAAACGTTGGCTGTGCAAGCCCAAACAAAGGCCCCGGCTCGATAACCCGGACACCATCCATCCACCTTCACTCAGCCCACGGACGGCCTTTTCTCGATAGGGTGGCAAGGCACCCAGGTGCCCCCACGGGCCAACACAGTGGTGGGCGTGAAGGCTGCAAGGGCGCGTCGCCTCTGGGTTAGATGGCTGATGGCCTCTGCTTTCAAAACTCTGCTGGTTTACATACTAACTCTGCTTTCAAAACTCTGCTGGTTTACATACTAACCCCAGAGAGAAAGAGAGAGAGAGAATATGAATGGGAATCTTCATACTGCTGGTTTATTCTCCAGTGGTTGCAGCTGCCTGCCCGTGCCAGGCCAGGCAGGACAGGAACCTGGGATGCCAACCAGCTCTTACGTGTGTGTTGGCAACCAAGCACTTGGGCCATCCTGTGCTGCCTTCCCAGGAGCATCTGTGGCCCCCATGGGAGGGGTGGGTATCGGCACAGCAGGCGGTGGCTTAAACCGCTACATCACAACAGCAGCTGGGCTAAAAAGTTCATAGTTTGATCTCTGCCTGGGGTTGGGCTGGAGGTGGGGTAGGGGGCATGCTGGCTTTGGCAGTCAAGATGCAAAGTAAGCTCCCTGTGGGGATGGCTCAAGTCTGAGTTCACTGCAGATCCATTCCTGGTCTCTGGCTGGCCATTTGCGGAGGGAACTAGGGGATGGGAGCGCTCTCTCTCTCTCTCTCTCTCTCTCTCTCTCTGTCTTGCCTTCTCTGTGTTTCCACAAAAAGCAGGGACAACATGCCGAGGGACTGAAAGGACCCATCCCTCACGGCCTCGCCTGCTCATGACCCACCTCCTAAGGCAGCGCTAGCTGCTCAAACCTCCCCATCCTATCGGCTCACACAGTTTTGGTACAGGCAAAGCGAGACAGGGTGACGGCGCGGCTAAGGGCCATGAAGAGGGCGTGGGGCCGCTCTGCAGAACTTACCATAATCGCACGTGGGCTGCGCACTGGTGTCCGAGTATGTGGACTGCAAAGTGGTCTCAGATCCCTGGACAAAACCTAAACATACGCACAACGTGGTTAATTCCCCCAGACCCAAGTTTCAGAAACGCGACTGCAAAACCACCCTTGAGGACACGTGAGCCGGCAGGCCTTCCCTTCTGTGCAAGGTCACCCAAGCCACCGCACTCCACGCTTGAGGAAGACCCTCGGAACCTAGCATCAGCGGAAAGAAATGGAAAGAAAGAGGCGCCACGCGGCAACTGAGGCGGATACATGAATATCACTCGGTTAAGTGCGGACAGCGCTTAGTCCGCGCCTGCTCCCCTGTATGGGATAGCGCAAACACCGCTGTGTGCGTCCCAGTTTTCCCACGCTGGAGAAGCAGCAGAGACGCTGTGCTGCTGGGGACAGACGCTCACAGGGGAGGGTCAGCACGCCACCAGCTCTGTTCCCACTTCCCCAGGGGAGGGAGCGGTGGGGGGCGGCAGTGACGACCAAGTACCCACCGGGGACACTGAGCGCCCGGCTCCTGGGTTTCAGCCTGTAACCCAGGGCGTGGTTACTGCAACCCTTGTCAGGGTGTGACACTTCTGTGTGTCTCAAATAACAAGTATACTGCCCTTATCAGGAGGTGGCATGTTTGGACGCAAACCCTAAGTGCTTCCCCCGCATACAGATGGAGCGGCCCTAAGGTAAACATGCAAAAAATTTCCAAAGCCGCCACTTTTTGGAGTGCAAACAGAACACCATTCCGCACGTGACCCTATGTGCCAAGCTGCTATACCAAAAGCAGGCACAGCAAAGATGTTTCAGAAAATGACCTTCGGGCTATGCGTCCAAGGTATATATATGAAATAGAAACAGATTTCATGTTTAGACTTGGGTCCGCGTCACCAAGAATCTGCCCTTTGTATATGCAAGTTTTCCAAAATTTAAAATATCATCTGAAACCTTCAAAATGCTTCTGGCCCTGGATGATTCCAATACGGGATACCCCATCTGTAATAGTATCTTTTTCTAGTTTTTCAACTTTCAACCTCAATGCACTTCTACTGGAAACCACTGCCAACAAAAGGCTGACTATGGACCTGGTGTGATAGCCTAATGGCTAAAGTCCTCGCCTTGAACACGCCGGGATCCCATAGGGACGCCGGTTCTAATCCCGGCTGCTCCACTTTCCATCCAGCTCCCTGCTTGTGGCCTGGGAAAGCAGTGGAGGACGGCCCAAAGCCTTGGGACCCTGCAACCTGGCTCCTGGCTTCGGATCAGTTCAGTTCCGGCTACTGCAGCCGCCTGGGGAATGAACCAAGACAGATCTTTCTGTCTCTCCTGCTCTCTGTAAATATGACTTTAAAATAAAAATTAAATCTTTAAAAAAAAGGGGGGGGGGAGTTGACCACAATATATCATGACTAATTCTAACATTTGGGCTAAAATTACATCTTAAATGTATTTTTCTTTAAGATTTATTTATTTTTATTGGGAAAGCAGATATGCAGAGAGGAGGAGAGACAGAGAGGAAGATCTTCCATCCGATGATTCACTCCCCAAGTGGCCGCAAAGGCTGGTGCTGCGCCAACCCAAAGCCAGGAGATCCTCTGGGTCTCCCACGCGGGTGCAGGGTCCCACGGCTTTGGGCCGTCCTCCACTGCTTTCCCAGGCCACAGGCAGGGAGCTGGGTGGGAAGTGGAGCAGCCTGGATTAGAATCAGCACCCATATGAGATCGTGGTGTGTTCAAGGCGAGGACTTTAGCTGCTAGGCCACAGCACCAGGCCCAAAATGTATTTTTAAATGAATTTTCTCACAACATGAAAATTCTGAGAGCTAGCAGGAAGGGTAGTAATCTGTCTTTTTCTAGCGGAGCTGACCTGCAAATGGAAGCCACAGCTTTGTTTACAATACTGCGCTGCAGCCAGGGTCTCCCACAGCTGGACAGACCCCAGCAGCAGCCTGGACACCGAACGAGTCTGCCCGGGCGACCAGGCAGGATCCCTTCCCAGTCATCCCCCAAAGCCCAAAGGGTTCCCCCAACCAAGCACTGGGGTGGCCGAGTCCTTAATCCTCTGCCAATGGCACCGGCATCCCAGACGGGCACCAGCTGGAATCCCGGCTGCTCCACTTCTGATCCAGCTCCGTGCTAACGGTCTGGAAAAGCAGCGGAGGATGGCTCAGAGCCCTGGGCACCCCACCCCCACCCCACCCCACCCCACCCCACCCCACGCCCTCGTGGGAGAACCCCGAAGAAGCCCCGGGATTTGAACCGGCTCAGCTCTGGCCGTTGTGGCCATTCGGGGGGGAGGGGAATAAGCGTCGAATCCATCCGTGGCGATGGGAGAGCCTTCTGCCTCTTGCTGTCACTCTTGCAAGCCAAATGAATCAATCTTACCAGAACACACACACACACACACACACACACAACACCAACAGCAACAAACAAATCCAAAACTGCTCTCCAAAAATGTGACGCCAAAACTTACAGCAAGGCTCCTCCTCCTCGCTCACCTGTGTGACATCGAAGGCCCGTCTTCCGAGACAGACCTGATGTTCTATTACAACACGACGCCCCAGACCACGGGCGAGGGTAAATTCCAGAACCCGCCGAGCGCCGAGGGTCCCACGCCCCCCACGTGTGGCCTCAGTTTCATCTTTAATCCCCACAGCAGCGGCCTGGACCCAGGGTAGGGAAGACAACGGAGCGGGGACACACTCGACCCTGTTTGCCCTCTGGAATCAAGCAGTGTGCATTCTTTTTTAAAGATTTATTTTTTTGGGCCTGGCGGCATGGCCTAGTGGCCAAGGCCCTCCTCGCCTTGAATGCACCGGGATCCCATCTAGTCGCCGGTTCTAATCCCGGCAGCTCCACTTCCTCTCTGTCTCTCCTCCTCTCTGTATATCTGACCTTTGTAATTAAAATAAAATAAATCCCTTAAAAAAAAAAAAAAAGATTTGTTTTGTTTTTATTCGAAAGGCAGATTTACAGAGAGCAGGAGAGACAGAAAGATCTGTCTGCTGGTTTGCTGCCCAAGTGGCCACAAGAGCCGGAGCTGAGCCCATCCGAAGCCAGGAGCCAGGAGCCTCTTCCGGGTCTCCCACACGGGTGCAGGGTTCCAAGGCTTTGGGCCGTCCTCCACTGCTTTCCCAGGCCACAGGCAGGGAGCTGGATGGGAAGTGGGGCTGCCGGGATTAGAACCGGCGCCTATGTAGGATCCCGGTGCATTCAAGGCGAGGACTTGAACTGCTACGCTATTGTGCCAGGCTCCCTTTACAACTTCTTTTCAGCATATCCCAACGGCCCCCCACCACTCGTCTTCCTCACTGGGGACCATCACTAAACCAGCCTCCCTGAATACTAGAGCTGTGACTGCACCAGGGCGCAGCTGGCTACCAAGTGTCCAGCGCGCAGCTAACAAACACAGGGCATACACACGCTGGACCAAATGATGATTCATGGCCCCGGGCGGGATGGAGCGAGGCTTCCCGCTCCTCGGGACGGCATGGCCTCTCAAAGTAACACTTCCATTTTTTTACTTCCAGAATCTTCCATGTACAGTATTTCTGGGGGGAGGACCACAGCTGATGAAAGAGCTGCCATTCTAGCGCCAACTGCAACTGCAGACCTACTAAGTGCGAACAGGAATGCATGCAGTCAGCCAGTTGTGAGAAGAGGTTGTTCGTTCAGGGCAGAGGGGTCCTGGGTTTTCCCTGAGAAGGGGAAAAAAAAAATGAATACCATCCATGGGACTGTCAACCCTGGGCCTGGTGAGGTAGCCTAGTGGCTAACGTGTTCTCCTTGCACCCATCGGGATCCCTGTGGGTGCCAGTTCTAATCCCGGCAGCCCCACTTCCCATCCAGCTCCCTGCCTGTGGCCTGGGAAAGCAGTCGAGGACGACCCAAAGCCTTGGGACCCTGCACCCGCATGGGAGACCCGGAAGAAGCTCCTGCACCTGCATGGGAGACCCGGAAGAAGCTCCTGGCTCCTGGCTTCGGATCAGCTCAGCTCTGCCTGTTGCGGCCGCTTGGCGAGTGAACCAGCAGACAGAAGTTCTTCCTCTCTGTCTCCTCTCCTCTCCGTAAATCTGCCTTTCCAATAAAAAGAAAGAAATCTCCCCCACCCCCCCAAAAAAAGACTGTCAAACCCTTCGGAGCTCTGTAAAAACAGCTGCTGTCCCTCCTTGTCCCCTGTGTTCCGTGAGTAATTTCCAGGGCAGGCCCTCTGTACCACAGAACTACAGTACAAATAAACTCTTCACTCGTTCATAACGCATTCCCCTGCGGGTTTGCTTCACCAGCCTGGTAAAGCAGCGGGCGCAAAAAATAAGAACCATTTGGCCCAAGAAAGCTACGGGCCTCCGTTATCTCAGGCTGCACAAAATGAAAGCATCTTTCATCTTATTTTTTTTTTTTCTCTCTCTTGAAGCAATGATGCATCATGACAAAAAAAAAAAAAAAAATTTAGAGGACAGCTGGAATTCAGCAACGTCGTTCCCGACCTCTGACCGTGACCCGGAACAGTGAGACAAAGACACCAAGGAGGCTTCGCCAGGAATTTTTTTTTTTTCCCGCTCCTGTTCCTATGCAGAAGTAGCCCCAGCTGGAAACAATATGATTTGGGGGGTACGACTGCCTGTATGTCTCGGCTTCCCCCGGGGAAAGCTGCTGTCCCTTCACACGGACCCTCGGGAGAGCGCCGTGCGGCAAGGAGCCAACGCCTGGCACCTGGCACCTGGCACCAGCCTTGGCGTTCAAGTCACCTGCAGGGTGGGGTGGGCAGGATGGTCCCAAGAGGCCACCTCAGTGGAACCTCATGGGGGGACCTCCCCCCTGAACCACAATCACCCCACTCCACCCGCCTGAGCCTCGCTACCGCAGAGAGGCGGTGAAATAATTTTTTTTTTTTTCTTTTTTGCTACTTCAACAGAACAAGACCATCCCGCCTGTCATGTGAAGGCTTGGTTCTGGATCTTTCTCTCCTGTTTCTTAGCTGCTCTTCTGAGTATTGGAAGCCTCCCTCTCCCGGGCACAGGTAACACTAATAATGCCTTTGATGCTTTAGGAACTAAGGTGCTTTTGCCTCCAGAGCCTCCCCCCCGGTGCTTGGCCTCAAAGCCAGCAGCCAGTCGGGAGCTGCGAGCCAGGCTGCCCGGTGAATCCGGTGGCCTGGCCAGCCGAGCAGCGGCCACGGATCAAGCTGTCCGTTGCCTCATGAGCCTTGCTGCCCAGCCAGCCTACAAGAGCGGGTGGCTTGGCCATTTACGATGGCTCTAATTCCATTTCTTCCTTCAACACGATAAATGCTCTATTATGAAATTTATCCCAAGAGCCCCCAAACCACTTTTTTCTTTTTCGGTTTCGTACATCATCCTGCCCCTCAACATCACAGAAGCGTCCAGCACATTGGCCAGGGGGGCTGGGGGACACCCTGGGAGACTTCCTGGGTCCCATCCACTAGGTGTCAGCAGCAGTGACAGACAGAGCCCCCCCCCCCAAGCATGGTGTCTCCAAGTTATGGAGCCACTGCTACGATAAAAACCCATCCAGAGGGAGCCACAGAAGGGACCCTGGGGGGCTCAAGGTGGAGCAGGTGACCCAGGAAAGCATGCGTGCCCAAACCTGTGGCCACTCCGCCACCAGGGGCCAGGCCGGGTCCACAGCTCCTGGCTGGCAGGCTTGCACCATCCACTGTCAGAGCAGTACCCTAACATGGCCAGCCTGGGCCATGCAACGAGAGGGGAGAGCTTAACAAGCGCTCCCAGGCGTACCCACCCGCCTCTCTAACGGGGAAGCGCTCCAATTGGGGGTGTAGCAGGGGGGCAGTACAGATCAAGGGGTATCCACAGTTCCACAGCCTACATGAGAAGTCTCCACTCCAACTGCCGCCTCCTCCTGCAGGCTTGCCCGGTCGACCCCCAGGACAGATCCCGTGCTGCTACTGCTGCTGCTGCTGCTGCTGCTGCAGGAAGATCTGCCCCCTTCCTCGCCTCTAACCCCCCACCTCCCCAGGAGGCTGGTCCAGCTCAGCCCCTGGTTGTCCTTCCCAAGAGCGCACGCACGCACCACGGCTGCCTGCCCCTCCCCTTCCATCCTTCTTCAACACGGGGGGCTGATCCCCCTCGGGGGGCCTGGCGCCTCTCCCAGCTCTGCAGCCTTGCAGGGCAAGGTGGGCGGCGGGGAGGCAGGAGCTGCTGCTGCTGCTGCTGCTGCGGCGGCGGCGGCGTTTTGCAAGGAGGTGGTGGAGAGCGAAGCGCGCAAGCAGCAATGGCGACGGCGCGCGCTCGCTCGTTCGCTCGCTCACTGGCGGAGCGATCCAAAGGAGTCCAAAAAAAAAAAAAATAAATAATAATAATAATAAATAAAGGCCTTGACCGAGAAAAAGGGCGACCTGAGGAGTCGAGATCTAAGGAGCGAGCTCTCTCCGAGGCCAGGGACTTCGGCTCCCTCTCCAAGGCCAGGGACGGAGGTGGCAGGCCCGAGAGCGGAGACCCGAGGCTGTGGGAGTCGGTTGCTGAGGCGTCGAGGCCTCCTGGGCAAGCGCGACCCCTGCAAGCGACCGGGTCGCCCAAGGCGCCATTTTGTGACCAGAGAGAGAGAGAGAGAGAGAGAGAGAGAGAGGGCAGTGACCGGTCCCCCGGTGCAGGAGGGGGGCGTGAGCAAGCCAGGCTTGCCTCTCTGCCGCGTCCCGATCCAGCAGCCCCTTCCCTGGGGGGGCCCCAGCAAGCCCACCTGTGTAGCTCATGGGTGCGGCGGACACGAGAGCCCGGACACTCGAGCAAGCTCCTCCGTGTGCGCGTCTGACGCTCCGGTGGCGACGGCGACAATCCCCGGGAGGGAGGGAGGGCCTCCCCAAACCTCCTCCTCCTTCTCCTCCTCCTCCTCCTTCTCCTTCTCCTGGTGCGCGTCGCCGGGCCCCGCCTCCCGACCGCATTGGCCGGCGCTGGCCTCACAATGCGCCCCTATTGGATGACCTCGCTGTCGCCTCTCGGCGTTTGCGATTCCTGATTGGTGCTAGGGGCTGCTCATCTCACCGGATGCCCCGCCCGGCTCCCGCCTTTCCGTTACGGCCGGCTCGCGTCCATTGGCCGAGCGCGGCCGAGGGGGGAGGAGGGGGAGAGAGGGGAGTTGTTTTGTGGAGTTTTTTGTGGAGTTTGTGGAGTTTTTTGTGGAGTTTGTGGAGCTGCGGTGGGTGTCCTCCTACGGGAAGGCCCGAGGTCCACTCGCGACGCGGACCTGCGGCCCCGGAACCCGGAAGGAGGGAGCAACGCAAGGGCCGACGCTGTTTAAATAGTGTTTAAATGAGATGACACAGCTAAGGGGGGGAAAAAAAAACAAAACTCGGCTCGGGTGGCAGGTGCACTAAGCAATGTATTGTTATCCGTCCTTAAATAAGGATAATGTATTTATGTCTGTTGCATGGCTGATGCAGCCGTTTGTGACGTCTGTCGTCTCAGATAGTGCCTCCTTTGGGGGGCTGCCCCGGGACCCCCAGTGGGTCCCCAGGTAAATTTGAGTCTTGGAGTTTGTGACTCGCTCCGGGTCACAGATCCTTCACTGTAAGTGCTGGGGGGGGGGGGGGGGGTTGCGTTGTAAACCCTCTTGGCTTGCCCTCTTGGTGCAGTGTAGACACTGCAAGGGATCGTGTTTGAAGTCATTAGGCTGTGCGCCCCACTCAGTAGCCTGGTGGCTAATATCCTGGCCTTTCATGAGCATATTTGTGTCCCGGCAGCCCCACTTCCCATCCAGCTCCCTGCCTGTGGCCTGGGAAAGCAGTGAAGGACGGCCCAAAGCCTTGGGGACCCTGCACCCGCGTGGGAGACCCAGAAAGAAGCTCCTGGCTCCTGGCTTCGGATTGGCTCAGCTCCAGCCATAGCGGGCTGCTTGGGGAGTGATTCAATGGCCGGAAGATCTTCTCCATCTCTCCTTTTCTCTGTATATCTGCCTTTCCAATAACTATTTTAAAAACCCACTCATTACACTATACAATTATAACTTGATAAGCTGCCGTGTTTCCAAGTTCCCTGTTGCTGACCCGCAGTGATTTTAAAAATACTTTAAAGAGCCAAGTGTCGTAGGAGGGTGCGATCTTCCATCTGCTGACTTGCTCCCTAAATGCCAACAAAAGCCAGTGCTGGGCCACGCTGGAGCCAGGAATTCCAACTGGATGGCAGGGACCCAAGCATTTGTGTCATCATGTGCCGCCTCCAGGGCGCCATCAGCAGGAACGGAGGACTGGATCCCAGCCCTTGCTGCGTGGAAGCAGGCATCCCAAGCTGTGGCCTGACCGCTGTGCTCCCATGCCTGCCCCTCTGTGAGGACCGTCCTGGACATCCGTGGGCGTGATGGGAAGCCAGGAGGTGCAACACCTCGCTCAGGGGTGGCGGACATTGGCTGAGAGCTGATGGAGGCTTACTTGGCCATCGTTGTGGCCTATCAAACCAAGCCTCCACCGTGCCGCTCCAGCTCCCTGCCAATATGTCTGGGAGAGCAATGAAAGATGTTCCCCATCCTTGGGCCCCTCCCTGCATGCTTGTGGGAGACTCAAGCAGCAGCTCCTGGCTCCTGTCTGGTCCAGTCAGTCCTGGCCAGTTCAGCCATTTGGGAAGTGAACCAGCTGATGGAAGCTCTCTCTGCCACGTTTAGATTTTAAAGCATTCTTAACAACAGTAACAATCTGATGTCTGGGAGTTGGAAGGATGCCTTTGGCCCAGGTCCACCCCCATGGCTGGAGACCGCGTGCTCCTGCCAAGGCGAGTGTCCTAGCGTCCTGTACCCGCCCACAGCAGAGCGGTCCAGCCCAGGGCTGAGGGGCCCCAAGCGTGTGCAGAGTGCAACGGACTCATCTCTCCTTCCTCTGGGTGTGTCTCCACGGCCCTCATACGCCCCCTTACCACTCCTGCTGCGGCTGGCCTCAGAGCCCCTCTGGCCTCACTCGCTCCCCCGAGCCCCAGTTCCAACGTGCTCGGGATCTGCTTTAGCCAGCTGGCCAGAGCCACGCACCAGCTGTAGCTGGCACGGCTGGCAACGTGGGGTTCTCACCAGCTGCGCCTGCTTGGCTTGGCTTGGCTTGGCTTGGGGGAAATCCCGAGGCTTTGGGGTTTTCAGAGAAGGCCTCCATCGCAAACCCTGACTGCCAACTGGTGCCAGTTGTCCACGCGGACGCAAAAACACACGCCGGCCACCTGCCCCCCCCGGGGGAGGGCATTTCCAGAAGAGAAATTTAATCTAATGTACATACTTCTAAGTACAATTGGTAACCAAAAGGTGGCCACTGGAAAAAAAGTTGAAAGGTCGATCAGCTCCCGGTTTCTAGCTGGCCCAGGATTGCAAAATAAAAAGACCCACGTTCCTTATTCTCTACACAAAACGCGTTTTTAAAAAAGTGAGCAGTCTAGAGAACTATACATAGAAAGCAACAGTGAAAAGGCGGGGGGCAGGGGGGGCAGAAGTAGGGGAGTAGGGCCCCACCCCAGCCCCTCCCGGCCCCCCGGAGCCCACTCTCCAGGCTCTTGTTGGGGGGGGGGGTACCTGGACATGACAGGAGGCAGCTGTCAGCTCAGAGCCCTTCCCAGTTGGGAAGGCCCCCCCGGGGGGCGGGGCGGGGGGGGGCAACAAGGATTTTTTTTTTTCCGTGGCTTCATGGGCTCAGTGAGGGCTCCCCCCAGGCCCCGGCAGGTCATCAAAGGGAGCCCGGCTTCCCCTGAGCAAGCACCATGGCATGATGTGGTCATTCAACTTGGGAACTGGGGGGGGCTGGGGCAGGTTCCCAGGTCTCATGAGGTGCGTGTGCATGAAGGTTTGTGTGTGCGTGGGTGGGTGGGTGGGTGGGTGAGCGAGAGGGAACCAGAACAGGGGTCTTTGGGGTCTCTGCAAAGGGCCACGAGTGGCAGACACAGCCCTCCCTGCCTGCTGTTCCTGTGGGACCAGGTGGGCATGGGCTGAAGACACCTGGTGGCCCCAGTCCTTGGGCTGCGGGAAGGGCGGCTAGCTGGCTCCCGGTGCCCCCCCGGCTGTAGTGTCCCCGGCCCCCGAGGGGCACCGGTCTGAGGTTTTGGCTTGCTCCTTTGGAAACGGAAAAGAGGGAAGAGAGGGAAGAGGATCTGGAGGAGGCGAGGAGAGGGGAGGAGACGGGTGGCACGAAGGATCTGGAATGCTTCTGTCAGGGTGCCTGTGCCGCTGCTGTCTGTGCCTGGGGAGCCTGGGGCTCCTCAGACGGGGGGTCCGCTTTGGAGAAATTCATCTCCAGGATGTGCCGCTGTAAGTGCCGTACCCACTCTTCCTGGATGGAGAGAGGGCCCTGGAATTCCACTTCACAGAACCTGCGAGGGGCAACAGAGAGGAGCAGCCAACGCTGTGAGAAGAGGCAGAGGCATAGCTTTGCCTGCAGCCCTGGACACCCCTTACTGAGCCTGAGCACCCCTACACTTGAAGGAAGCCACATGTGTGTGTCTACACACACCCCCAGCAGGTACAGTGGGAGGTGGTGGGTGCTGCCTGAGGGCCATGTCACTTGCCACGACACTTCCACCCCAATGGAGGGCTGTGAGCTGGCAGATCCTGCCCATGGCTCCCGGGTGGGCCTGAGGAGTCGATCTCACGGGTCAAGAGTCCCACATTTCTTGTCCCTGGGGCACACAGGGCATCTTGGTAAGAACTGTATTGTGAAAGACCTGTATTTTGCTTCATCAGACTTGCTGAGGGAGGCTTACTGTACGCTACGGCATGGATGCCCCTGCTTTATGACTGTCTCGTGTGTGGGGAAACTGAGGCACGGGGCAGCCAGCTGGGCTTGGAACCCAGATCTTGCTGGCTGGAAGTCCAGGGAGTCAGCCTCAGGGGCTGAGGCACTGGTGTGCTGTGAGCAGCCTTTGGGCTGGGGTCCCCCCCATCCAGGAGGCCAAGGCCACGGCCCAGCTGGGGGAGCTGGGAGTTCCCCCCCAGTCACTGGGGGATAGCGTACCTGCACTTGAGGGTGTAGATGTTGCCAACAAACTTGACAAGCGATGTCTGGGGAGGCCGGGGCACCAGGGAAGGTACGGGGCGCACCCGGGGCGGGGGCTGCCGCACTTCCTCTAACTTCTGAGGCCGGTCACTGGCCTCCTCTCCCCCTCTATTGGCCAAGGCGTCTGAAGGCCGGGCTTGTCGGCGCTCAAATTCTAAAGGACAGGACAGAGATGGGGATGGACAAGAGGACCAGGGAGCCGTGGGGGCTAAGGGATGGGATGAGGATAGCCAGGGGCTGGGAGTGGGGGGGGCGTGCAGGGAGGGGACCCCCACACCAGTACTCACTGCTAATGTTCTGTCGCTGGCGCTCCTCGGCTTTCACAGTGCCCGGGAGGCCGGCTGCCAGAGGTCGCTCACCGCTGTCGGCTGCCCGGCCAGCCTCGGGCCCTGGTTCCCCACCAGCACTGCGGCTGACCACGGCCAGGCCCCCGGGGGCCAGCCCCAGGGGCGGCCGTTGGTCACTGTCACGGCCGTGGCCGGCGCTGCGGAACTTCTTGGCGAAGGGCCGGCCTCCCTGGATGTAGCTGCGGTAGGCGCCCACCTTCTGCGGCCGGTGCTTGATCCACTCGCTCAGTGTCTCGATGGGTGAGCCGTTCACACACCATTCCGTCACCCCAAACTGCCGCAGGTGCGCCCGTGCGTGGCTGGCCAGGGCTTTGCGGTTTTCAAAGTAAAGGCCACACAGCTCGCAGCAGGCCTCGGTGGCTGCAGGCGGAGGAGGGGTGCTGCTGAGCCCCGGTCCCGGGCAGGGCAGGGCAGGGCAGGGCAGGGCAGGGCAAGGCAGGGCAAGGCAGGGCAGGGCAGGCGTACTCAGACAGCTCTGCCCAGGCCGAGCCAACCCCTCCTCCCACCGGGCCCTTGCCACAGGGACCCGTGCACATTTGAGCCCCGCAGGCCCCGGTGGATGCCCTCCCGAGACCCTGCCACCCGCTGCTTACAGGAATGGGGGGTCTTCTCGTGGAGGGTCTTTGCCTTGAAGGGCAGTTCAGTCTGGATGTAGGTCTTGGCCTTGACTTCTGCTGGGAGGAGCCGGTCCTCCTGCAGGGGCCGTTTGACGGCGACCGAGCCCAGGTAGCTGGTGGCTGAGGCCTTGGCCCCAGTGATGGGTGTCAGGCTGAGCTCCCTGGGAATCTGGGCGGGCCCGGCTCCCGGTTTGCCTGGCCGGCCAGCCAGGGGCGAGAGCAGCAGCGGAGACTGGAGGCTGCCAGGGGCTGCCGTGGGGGGCCCGTCCTCGGCCAGGGTCGGGGCGAGGTCTCCGGCTGGTGGCTCCTTCTTGATGAGGCACGGCTTGGATTTCTTCTTCAGGATCTCCCGCAGCGTGTCGATGGGCGAGCCGTTGACGGACCACTCGGTCACGCCCATCTGCCGCAGGTGGGAGCGCGCGTGGCTCGACAGCCCCTTGCGGTTCTCGAAGAACTCGCCGCAGAACTCACAGCGGATGTCTCGAGCTGGCTCTGCCCGGGACGCTGCAGAGGGTCCGGGGGTGGGGAACAGAGGAGGCGGCGGCAGCTGTGGGCAGGAAGCCTCCAAGGGCAGGGCTCCTGTCGGTGGCAGCTGCCTGCCTTGTCCACACCCCACCCCACCCCACCCCCGCCGACCCCACCACCCCAGTGACCTGTGGCCTCATGAGGGCTTCCAGAAGCCCTTCCGCGCTTCTTGCTGGCTGCCTGCCCGCCCCCCTCCAGCCTCTCCCTGAATCAGGGTGGGTCAGCCACTTCCTCTCTCTAAGCCTCATTTTGCTTCTCTGTTACATGGTCCTAAGAGCGGCCATGTCCCGGGTTACTGGCAAGGGCAACTGTGGGCATCCTGGGAGCACACACACAGGACCTCTGGGGCAGGACTGGGCCACCCCATCTACTCGGCACACCTAGGGTGGAGCGAGCAAGACAATGGTGTGCCTAAGACGCAGGTGACAGGGAGGTGACCGCTGCTGTTCACAGGCGTTTCTATGGCCAGGCACTGTGCTGAGGGCCCAGGCCCCCTGACTTCTCAGAAGACGAGAGAGAGACACGCGGGGTCTGTGCTCATCCCCACTTTCCATATGGGCACACCTGCTCTGGGGTCTCACACTGCCAGACCGTAGAGGAACACGGATCATGGCCTCCACCGGACACTACATGTTGAGCGATTACCGGGACCGACAGACACGGCTCAGGCAGCCATGCTCTGATCCTACGTGCCTGCCCTACGTGGCAGACATCACAAACTGATCCCTGATGTCTTGGAAGCCGGGAGAGCCACTAGCCATCAACGGATGATGGCGCGCGAGTGTCAGACTGCTTGTCCCCATCCCTGAGGGACAGCTCCGCTCTGGGTTTCAGGAAGGTGCCACTGGCGCCTGGGTGCAGCCTCCCTTCCGTTTCCACCCTTGGAGCTCTGGGTACCCACAGTGGGAGGTAGGGAGGAGGCCCCTCCAGCTGCTCTCCCTGCACTTACACAGGTTGAGGGGTGCCAGGTCTTCCCGCGGTGCCCCCCAGGGACCCTCGGAGTGATGCGGCTCCCCAGGAAGGGTCCCCGGCAGCGTCTCCCGCTTGATCTCCACATGCATATGTCCGGGCTTCAGCTTCTTGGGCAGAGGGGGTGCGGCCAGGCCTGGGAACATCTTCCGGGCCGTGGGAGGAGGCGAGGCAGTTGGTGAATGGCCCAGGGGGCTGCCTGGTGGCAGCGGCAACTTCTTGGCCAGGGGCGAGATGTGAAGGTCCGAGGGGCTGCGGGCTTCCAGCGAGCTGCCAGGACCTCCGCTGCCCACCACCTTAGCCAAGGCTTTCGAGCTGGGCCCTGGTGGGTTAGGGGGCCCACCAGGCCGAGACTGGGTCCGTCGCTTCAGGATCTCCCGCAGCGTGTCGATGGGCGAGCCGTTGACGTACCACTCGGTCACGCCCATCTGCCGCAGGTGGGAGCGCGCGTGGCTCGACAGCCCCTTGCGGTTCTCGAAGAACTCGCCGCAGAACTCACAGCGGATGTCTCGAGTTGGCTCAGGGCCGGAGGCTGTGGCAAGAGGAGAAAGAGGGCAGTCAGTGGCAGCGGCATCGGGAGTGTCCTGAGTGGTGGTGGAGAGTAAGGTGTAACGGAGGGAGCAGGGGGCCGGACCTGGGCCAGAAGCCGGGACACGCCCCAGATGCAGGTGGGACGAGGAGGGACTCAGGGCTCCGAGACTCCCTGGCTTCCAACAAGGACGGGGGAGGGGGGGCAGGAGGCGGGCAGCCCTGGTGCCACAGGGTCTCCAGATTACAGGCAGCTGGGGATGCCTTCCGTGCCCCATGGCAGAGTCCCCACCCCTGGACCCTGACTCTAGTAGAAGTCAGACTACGGGAAAGGGCCTGGCGGACCCCTGCCAATAATATTGCTCAACAGAACTGGCCTGCTGCCAGAAGGTGCCCTGTCGCCTTCCTCTGCTGGCAGGGAGGGGGCTTCGACCCCCCTTCCCACCCGCCGGGAGGGGCTCCAGGGCCTGCAGGCAGGGAGAACCTACAGAAGCTGACAGGGGACGGCTCCACATCAGAGGCCCAGAAAATACCGGGGCGGCGGCTGAGAGCTCCTGCTCCCCCCAGGGGCTGGCCATACCCGAGGCCTTCGGCCTGCCCTTCTTGGCCGCCGGCGGGGAGGGAAGCAAGGAGCCGGCCGCAGAGATGGGGTGAGGCCGCCCCGGCCGGGCCCGGCCGCCGCCGCGCCCAAGTGGGAGGCGAAGCTGGACGCCGTCCCTCTGGAAGAGCCCGTGGAGCGCGTCTATGGGGGATCCCTTGGCGTCCGGGTCGCTGACGCCCAGGTGATGCAGGTGGGTGCAGGCGTGGCTGGACAGGCCCTTGTGGGTCTCAAACCAGGCACCTCGCAGCTGGGGGTCCAGCTCTCTGCCCCCGTCACTATCTAAAGCTGCGGAGACAAAACACAGGGGCGTGGGGTGGGGTTCATGGCCACCACCCTGGCCCGCCTGCAAGAGCAGGTCTGCTCGGGCAGTCTGTGGTCCCCAAGACTCAAGCTACCCGGTCACTACTAGGTGGTTTGGGGCAGCAGGCTGTCCCGTCCCCGGCTTGGCCCTCCAGCATCAAGGCCAATGTGAAGAACCAGAGGATGCAGGCAGGATGGGCAGGCGGCGACCGCATTCCAGTGGCAAGGTCTGAGGCCCCTGGGCCCTTGTGGCCTGAGCCCCTCGAGGTGGGGGGGGGGGGTGACACTGGACGACAGGTGGTGAGTGTAGACCAAGGAGGCCCACCTGCTGCCAAGCACTGGATGAGGGCACTTCAGAAAGCGCGTGAGAAAAAGGAAAAGTTTATGTTGGTGTAAAAAACATGGCCAAGTGCCCATGTGGCTTGCTCTTAATACATCTTTTCCACAAACTTTCTGAAAGCTGTTCTCGTCAGGGCCCTGCTCCTGGGGACACAACTGACTTGGGGGGGGGGGTCCTCTGGGCTGGGGTGGCCCAGACCCCACGAGGCCCACAAGCTACAACCTCTGCTCCCAGGGGATGCTCTGGGGAGCCCCGAGGAAGGGCTGCTGCCCTCTCTCTTGGCCAAGAAGCTCCCCCCGGGGCAGGCCAGGAGTGGGCTCTGGGCGTTGGCAGGGCGGGCGAGCAGCCCCGCAGGAACAATGGGAACACTGGACCAGCTATGGGGAGGAGTCTCCCGGGCAGGGAGCCCGCCTGATACCCCACAAGGCTATGAGCTCCTCCGGGAGGGAGCCTGGCCTGGAAGAAACTAAGAGCTGTCCCCTTCAATGGCGACGATGACCCTGGCGGGCCCCTTCGCAGTGACCAGCCAGTGCCTTGACCTGACCTGGCCCAAGGCTTGGGCCCTACGGACTTGAGGCTCCCGCCCTCGGGGCGCTGGGGCCTCCCGGGGGGTTCCCAGGACCCACACACTCACTGAGGTTCAGGGGCCCTTCGTCATCGGACTGGGGCCACTGTGCCTTGGGGGAGGCCGGCCGGGGGCTCAGGGACAGCTGGGGGCTCTTGTCCTCAGGATTCTTGGGGGGAGGGGAGCCCGCCAGGGCTAGCGGCGCCTTCTTGAGGAGCGGCGAGCTGGGTGGATGAGCCAGGCCCTTGGCTGAGAAGCCAGGAGGCGACTTGATGGCTTTGTTGACAGCGGGGGCATCCAGAGGCTTGGCCAGGGGGAGCAGGCCGGCCCGGGGCCCCCCGCTGACCACCTCCTTGGGTGAGCTGCACTTCTTAGCCAGGCTTGGGGGCAGCCCGAGGGGGGCGTCGGGCAGGCCCTTCTGCTTCACCAGCTCGTAGAGGAGGTCGATGGGGGCGCCGCTGCTCTCGGACTCCGCCACCCCCAGCTGCCGCAGGTGGGAGCGCGCGTGGCTGGACAGGCCCTTGCGGGTCTCGAAGCAGGCGCCGCAGACCTCGCAAGTGGTCAGGCTCTGAGCTGGAGGGCGAGATGGGGGGGCCGGGAGAGCAGGCTGTGAGGCCTGTGGGCCCAGCTCACCCGCCTCTCCTCTCCCTGGGACCCACTCACCCGGGTTCCGTGGAAGCGTTTTGCTCCTGTTGCCCTGCACCAAGTTCCCCCCCAGTCTTAGAACGATCCTAATGAGGCAGCAATGGGCCTGCCGCTTTGCAGGCCGGGACACTGAGGCTGGGGGGGGGGGGTTAGGGAGAGGGGAGGAGTACAACCAAGGACACACAGCTGGTGGTGGCCAAGCCCTTGTGTGGGCTCAGCCCGGCGGGCACACCTTTCGGAGCCCGACACCGACCCACCGGTCACATGTTTTGCCAAGCTCACCCCGACACCCCAGCACCCTTCTGTGTTGAACTCTGAGCCCTGTCTTTCTGTTTCTCTTACACCTCGTCCCCTCCCCAATGCCAGGTGCAAAGGCGGGACCGAGGGTCCGGCCCAGTGCTCGCCGCCACTCCACGACAACGATGACAAGAGGAACCAGTGACAAGACGCTGCGCGGGTTCGCGGGAGCCCACTGCCCTCTCCGGATGCCCCCTCCCTCACCCAGCTAGGGGCCAGGCATGCTCTGGGAAGCTCAAGAAGAAAAAAGATGACCGCCGTCGTCTTGGTGCCTGCAGGAGCCAGGGCCGACCTGGGGAGGGGTCCCGCACGAAGCTGCCAGGCCCGAGCGCTGCCCCCCCCCGCCCCCGGGGGAGCGTGAGCAGCCTGGCCAGCGCCGCGCCTCCTGCCACCCGGGCCACTCACCCTTGAGGTCTGGCAGCTCCTGCTTGCTGCCGTGAGGAGCCTCTGCAGCCACTTTGCTGCTCAGCCGACTGGCCACCTGCTCCAGGGCCCCAGTGACAGGCAGGCTCTTCTTAGGGAGCGGGGGTGACCCCAAGTCCATGGCCACCATGGCGTTCTCAGAACCCAGGCCTGCGGGGCGGGGGACACAGGCTCAGCCCAAGCGAGGCTCCAGCGTTCCGTCCTTCATCCTGGGAGCCCCGGCGCCCACTCCAAGAAATCCAAGGTCTCGCGCAGGAACCATGACTGCCTGCTGAGTGAACTCCCCGACACGGACACGACGTAAGACAACACCAACACGGCGGAACGTGGACCCACACCCGGAGCAGGGGCCGAGATTCCTACAGCTGGGACCTCCTCGGGAGCAACAGACTCGGATGAAACTTGAAAAGGGGGTGACATCTGTCAGTCCAGCAGGTGGAAGGGGTCAGGAGGGGTGGTGTCCGGAGGGAACCCAACAAGAGAGCCACGATTAGGGGGCCGGGGGGCCAAGGGGGGCTGGGAGGGCAGTGTAGAGGCAGCTTAGCTGGCTTCTGGCTGGGCCCCCCCAAGACGAGACACCTGAGGCTGGACATGTCCTATGTGCAGCTCCCCTCCACGGCTGCCCCCCGGAGCCCCGAGACTTGCACAAGTGGGAACCAGAAAGAACTTTTCCGCCAAGTTCCCCTTCACATCGTTACGAGGCCAGGACAGGGAGCTATTTTTCGCCCCCTCTTCCCTCCCGGGAGTGTTGGAATCTTTCGGAAGAAAGGAAGGCGACCCAAGTTTTTCAGAGCAGGAAGGCACTTTGTGTGTGTGTGTGTCACCGGGGGCCCGGTAGAGACTTTTGTCAAAAGTCTGCGGGGCGTCGGGGTGGGCGCGACTGTCAGACGCGGGAGATGCGGGGTACCCACAACGGGATGCGGGGGAGGAGGATCTGGGGGGGCTCGGGGAGGGTGGGGGGGGGAGCCTGGTACCCCATCCCGGGGCTCCGGAGCGGCGGGGGCATCTGTCAGCCAGGAGGAGGAGGAGGAGGAGGATGAGGAGAAAGAGGAGGAGGGCACCGCGGGGCACGGCGCGGCACGGCTGGGGGGGGTCGGGGGACCCTTGGCGAGCGGCGACCGACCCTTGGGGAGCCTGGGGGTCCCCCCGCACCCCTGCAGGGGCCTAGGGCAGCGCGTCCCACGCCACCACACACACACGCACGCACGCACCCCAAGGCCCCGACGGCGGCAGCATGGCGAGGCGGGACGCGCCAACTTTCCCTCCCGTCACCCACCCGGGGGAGCGGGTTCTTACCCGGCGGGGGCGCGGGCCCCGAGCCCGGCTCCGACTCGGCCTTGGGCCCGTCCCGAGCCGACGGCGGCGGCGGCGGCGGCGGCGGCGGTGGCGGCGGCGGGGGTGGGGGAGGCGGCGGCGGCGATACGGGGAGAGCCACCGAGCCTGGACTCGGGGGAGTGGACGGGGCCGTGGTGGCGCGCTCCCGGGCGCCCCCCGCGCGCGGCCCCGCCGCCGCCGCCGCCGCTTTGCTCTCCGCTTTTGTCACTCGGCACTGGGCGGTGGAGGCGGCCATCTTGGCTCCGGCGCACGCGGGGCGGTCGCCCCAGGCGGGAGCAGCCGAGCGTCGAGCGCCGCCGGCCGCCGAACCGCTCCGCCCTCCGCCCTCCTCCCTCCCTCGCCCCCCCTCCCGCCCCCACGCCTCGCTCACTCAGGGTGGCCTGCCGAGCGCTGAGCGCCACGAGCGGAACGCCTGTGCGTGGAGCGGGGGGAGGGGGCGGGTCCCCGAGCGACCACCCCCTTTTTTATCCGCCCCCCCCCCCGCCCCGACAGCCGCCCTAAGCTCCTCCTGCCACATACAGCTACCCTAACGGCGTCTAACCCCTTAGAGCCCCCTCTGGGCGATGCCAGGACCTGTCCCCTCACTCTCCCACCCCACCCCCGCCACCGCCCCCTTCCAACGCAGACCCTGCTCCCCTTTTCTGTGATTTGCAAGTCTTCCCCTCTCCAGGGTCTTGGAGCAAGACAACCGACCCCCCACCCCCGCATCCCAACTCAGTAGAGACCCCAAGAGCATGCTGGGACCCCGGCAATCCTCCCTCCGACGTGCTGGCACAGACAGACACCCCCCCTCTCGTCCCCTTGTCCCCGCAGGCACCCATCATCTCAAACACTGCTCGCTTCTCCAACACCCCAAAACTGGTTGTCCCCAGCTGTTGCTTGACAGTGGGGCCAGACCCTGCTGCCCCGCCTCCGACCTGACACCGGCCCTCCTGGGGAGGTGCTTAAGCTCCAAGACCAAAACTTCACACACCGCTTGCACTCACTCCTTCCACACCCGCCTCTGGCTGAGGGGGTTCACCCACAGACACGGCCAGCAACGGTGCCATGCCCGCCCCTCCTGGCATCCTGGCAGAGGCTCGGCGGCGGCTGCAAACGGCTCAACCACACTTGGAAGCTTTGCTTGGGCTTCCGTCCTTGGGGGCACGCTGGGGCAACATACACACACCGCACCCGGTAGCCATCCTGAGAGGCAACTCTACCCCCCAGTCGCTAAGTGGCACTCCCAGCAGGAGCAGGCAGCTGTAGGGCATACGCCCCGTGGGCTGTCCCCCCTGGGTACGTGACCCTCCACTGGTCATTCCACACTGTCCTCTCGCACGCGGATCCCTGAATGGTCCGCAGGGGATTCTGACCCATCTACTTATTGTGGCCTTGGAAACGGCACGGATCCGAATCAGAGGGAAGCACCCAGCACCCAGCACCCTCCCCACCACCGTAACATCCCCACTTCTCAGAATCCAGCTACTCTCACGGTCACATTCTCTGACTCGTCCAAACTCCTGCCAAGTCAGGGTTTGGGCCAGCCTGTGCGCTCTGTGTGTGTGTGTGTGTGTGTGTGTGTGTGTGTGTGTGTGTGTCTTTTCACTCTGCCCAGCCCCTCTGCTGGCACCGACCCCGACACCCTCACCAACACCTAAGCAGCACCCGGCGCCGGAAATCGCCACCAAACAAGATGTTCACAGGTTCCTCCCCACCCCGCGCCCCCAGTCAGCCACTAGCTGAGAAGTTAACGACCCCCAGCTTCCTGGTGTGCAAAGTGGGTAGTGGGGAGGGGGTCAGCCTTGCTTGGGGAAGAGGGGTGCGTATGCATGAAACGCCAGCAGGTTGGAACAGAAGGCCTCGGCATGCATTCTGCCATCTGGGCTGTCCTTGGCCTCCTACCAGTCACAAAAGTTCAAGGGCTTGGATCCCCGTGCTGACCTCCCCCCCAGAATAGACCACCAGGTAGCCAAGGACCAACTCCCACCTCACAGAGAGTTCTTACATGACTGCCGGGTCAGGTTCAGAACCCCCCTCCCCCCATGACCGCTGCTTCATCCAGCTGTGTGCCCTTGGGCAGGTGGATTCCTTCTGGGCACCTCTCATCTGGTAATGGTACAAACACCTGCCTCGCATGGAGGAAGCAGTTTGTGCTTCTCAGATCACTCAGCACAACTCCCGTCTCCCAGTGAGAAGGTGCTTGCTCGGTCAGGGCAGGAAGAAAGCATCTTCGGCCCAGAAATAACCCCTTACAAAGTGGCGGGGCGACATGGCGACAAAACACTTCCAGGGAAGCAGAGTGGCCACCCCTGTCCTCCCACTCTCCCCACCCCCCCCCCGCCACCCCACAACTCCCCTCCGCCACCATCAAACCGGGGACGTTCAAACGGGGCTCTGGCTATATGTAGCCCAGGCCCCCCTCCTCTTACCATCTCCGTAGGCTGGTCCAGGGTCCTCGGCCCAGGTGGGCGGGAAGGGTACTGTGAGAGGGAAGCGGGGCCGGCGGGAGGTTAGGAAGCCGCCGGGGGGTCCCCCGGGCTCCCGGCCCAGGGGGCTCGGGGGCAGCTCGGCGGAAGTGGCCAGCAGTTCCTGTAGAATGTTGATGGGTGACACGGTGAGCTCCCAGTTGGTGATGCCAAAGTCGCGCAGGTGCGCCCGGGCGTGGCTCGAGAGGCCTGCACGGGTGTCGAAGCCGGCCCCGCAGAAGTCACAGCGCATCAGGCTGAAGGTGCCCGGGTCAAAGTTCGCCACTGCAGAGGGGTGGGGTGGGGATGGGGTGGGGTGGGGTGGGGTGGGATCCGGGAGCAAGGAGAAAAGAGAATACAGGGCTGCTTGGTGGGAGCTAAGGAGAGGGAGGCTGTACCCCTAGGGCCCCCTGCCCTCTGAAGTTCAAGGGGTCAGTAGTGTACCCTGGCTCACCTTCCCCCTCTCAGCCGTCCAGGTCCTTGGACCGCCAGATAACCTCCCTGCATCCCAACACTCAGCTAGCTGTCCAGGTGTACAGGGGTCTGGCCCCTCTGTACACATCTGGGCAACATCAGGTGGACTCGACCCTGCCCACAAACACTTGGGCAGGTGGAGACTGGCGGTCATCTCGGGGAGTTCCGGGGACACCCTTTTCCTGTGAGCTTTGGTTCAACTGTTGGATGGAGTTAACGGACATCTGGAAACATCCTCTGAGTCCTCCCCCCCACACCCCATCTCAGCAGGTGGAGTCGGAAGCATTCACTTAGTCTCCCCCTGTTCCATCCTAACCGTTGCTGGCTTCCTGATTTTATCCTAGGGTGAAAACACACACACACACACACACACACACACACACACACACACACACACACGGCATACCAGCATCTCCCCAGCTTGGCGCCAGGTCGGCCAGCGTCAGAGCCACCTGCTCTGAAGCTCCTTGCTTAGGAATGTCCATCCCTTTCGTCTGGGTTCTGAACCCAGCTGAGGGGTGTGTGTGTGTGTGTGTGTGGTGGGGGGCGGGAGGGATGGGCAGGCACTCCCCTCACTCTGCTTCTGATTTCCAGGACGGCAAGATCTGATCTTGCATGCACCTGCCGTGTCTGCAGCGCCCGGAACAGAGGAAACCTCGCTGGCTCAATCATGTGTCCGGTGATGGAATTTTCTCGCCTGGGTCGGGGTTGGGGAGGAGACAGGGGAGCTACGACTTCCCGCTCTCCTTGCAGCCAGCCGCTGCCGGAGTGGCCAGGGCCCTGGGCCTCTGACTTCCTGGGTCACCGACATCACCCTGGTTGGTAGTGAAGGAGGTGATGCTAAGAGTGCAAACGGGTGGGTTTAGCACTCGGCTTGCCAGCATCTGTCTTAAGGCACAGTGGGGTAAGCCACTTTTTTGGGGTATCAGCAACCCCATGAGATCAGCAGTTATGAAGTGGGGCTGCTCTGCTTCCAAACCGCTTCCACCACCGACTCCGTAATGTGCCTCAGAAAGCAGAAGATGCCCCACGCGTGATCCAGCTGCCGGCTTAGGCCTGGTCCTGTCCCAGCTGTCCAGGCCATTTGGGGAGGGAAGCAGCTGATGGACAACGTCTCTTTCACACACACGTTTCTCCCTTTAAGATTCTGCCTTTCAAAACAGTTACACTTTAGGGCCAGGCGGCCTAGTGGCTAACGTCCTCGCCTTGAACGCGCCCGGGATCCCATACGGGTGCCGGTTCTAATCCTGGCAGCTCCACTTCCCATCCAGCTCCCTGCCTGTGGCCTGGGAAAGCAGTCGAGGACAGCCCAAAGCTTTGAGACCCCGCACCCGTGTGGGAGACCCGGAAGAAGTTCCTGGATCCTGGCTTCGGATCAGCATAGCATCAGCCATTGCGCTCACTTGGGGAGTGAATCATCGGACGGAAGATCTTCCTCTCTGTCTCTCCTCCTCTCTGTCTGACTTTGTAGTATAAAAAAAGAAATCTTCAAAACAATTACACTTAAAAAAAAAAAGTGATTCCTCTATTTATGGGAAAGCTAGAATGCAAGAGAGAAAGCAAGCTCTCAGCTTGGTCACTTCCTTAGGAGGTCAGAAGCCAGGATTCAAACGCTTCTTCCGGAACTCTCGTAAGCACGCAGGGACCCAAGCACTTGGCACCTCCTGTTCTGTTTCCTCGGGCGCCTGAGCAGGAAGCTGGAGCAGAAGCGGAGCAGCCGGGACACAAACAAACTGGAACCCATATGGGGGATATTGGCAGGGCAGGGGGCGGCTTTAACCTGATGCGCAACCATGCTCACCCCTAAAGACACGAAATCTTAAGGCGAACAAAAGAAAAGAAAAAGAAAAATGAGCCAGAACTCAGCGGCTGGCTCCCTTGCCTTGGAGCGCCGTGTGTGTGTGTGTGTGTGTGTGTGTGTGTGTGTGTGTGTGTGTTTGGGCTAAACCTCCTCCCCTACCTTTTTTCTTTTTTTTCTGGAAGGAGAACCTGCGCTCAATGGCCTTGACTTCCTCCGCGGAGATGAAATGGCGCACGTTGTAGCTGACGCCCACGCGGTTCAGGTGGCCTCGCACGTGGTTGGCCAGGCCTATGCCATTGTGAAAACGATCGGGGCAATAGGGGCATTTGCGCTCCTCGGGCTTCAGGGTCGCGGATGGGTCTCCCTCCAGGAGCGTGTCCAGCTCCAGGGGCCCGCCCAGCGGTGCTGCGTCCAGGAGCAGGAAATCCAGGGGGTGAGCGCCCCCCAGCCCTAGCACCTCTTCCTCGTGCGGCAGCCTCCTCCGGGGCGGCGCTCTGGCCACCGCAGCCTCCATCACCTGCTGCCCCAGCCTGGCCACCAGCACAATGGGTACCATCCCTTGCAACTGTCGCTGCTGTGCGCGGGAAGCCTGAGCCGTGCCCAGGGCATCTCGGAAAGTCCGCTTGAGCTCCAGGGCTGGCTGCGGGAGGAGGCTGGGGGTGGCTGGCCGCGCGAAGAGCTGCTCGTGTTCAGGTAGAAACTCCATTTCGGAGGTCAGCGGCACTGCCTCTTCCTCCTCCTCCTCCTCCTCCTCCTCTTCTTCCTCTTCTTCGCTCCAGGGGCGCCTGCGGCGGTCCCCCAGCCTCTGCGCGTGGCTATTGCCTTTGCTTCTCCCGAGCTGCAAGCAGTGCAGCGTGGATGCCAGCGGCGAGGGGAAGGCCTGTCTCCCAAAAGGCCTCTGGCCTGAGCCGGGGGCCAGCGACTTTGACATTGAAAAATCCCTCACACTCAGCTGCTGCGGGCAGTCTGGGCTGAAGGCCAGGCTAGGGTCATATCCAGCAGGGCTCTCATGCCACACTGGAGCTAAGAGTGGCTCAGCTTTGCCAAAGTAATCCACAGCAGCTTCAGGGAAGTGGGCGGTGTAGGCATCCTGGCTGGTACCCGGCTGGCTGGCTGGGTCCTCCATCTCCTCCTCCTCCAGCTCCTCCTCCTCCTCCTCCTCCAGCTCCTCCTCCCCGTCCTCCTCCCAGTGGGAATGTGCATGGGCCAGCCGCACGTGCTCCCTGAGCAAGCTCTCGCTGGGAGCCGGGAAGCCGCACACCATGCAGCAGGCACCGAGTCCAGAGGCGGCTTGGTTGGCAGTAGCCCCGTAGGGTTGACAGACTAGGGCATCAGCCGTGTCCAGGCTGGGGCTGGCAACCCTGCTGCTGCTGCCACCACCGCCTGGGAGCAGGGTCGGCTCCTCCTCCTCCAACTCCTCCTCCTCGGCTGGCAGGCTTGGCAGCTCTCGCCCGTGCACCTTGGCATGCTGCGCGAAGGCCCTGGAGGAGTTGGTGGCGAACGCACACTTGGGGCACTGCAGCCGTGCCTCGCAGCCCTGGCGGCCCGGCACCTGTTTCAGCTTCTGGATCTCCTCAATGATCTTCTCCCGCGAGGCCTGATGCAGTTGCCGATGCTGCTCCAGGGCTGCCGGGTCGGCGAAGGCCCAGCCACACTCACCGCAGGCCAGTGGGGCCAGGTGCGCTGGGGGCTCCTGGCTGGGGGCCCGGGGGTGGTGACTCATGTGATCTAAAAGATGGTCTTTCCGTCTGAAGTAGATACTGCATTCAATGCAAGGGAACACGGCCGGCTCCTCGTCCTCGCCCTTGCCCTCATCTGGACCGCCCATCCCCTCTACTGCCTCCTCCAGTAGCTCGCACAGGTAAGGCCCCGGCTGTGACGGGGGTAGCAGCGGCTTCAGCCGCTCCACGGATGCCTCGGCATTCACTGTCCAGGTCTGAGTGGCCACCTCCGAGGCCAAGGAGGGCAGGCTCCACTCGGACTGCTGCGCCATCCCGTCCAGTTCCTCCTCCAGGTCCTCCCCGGCTTCTCCGATGTCCATGTCCATAGCCTTGGGCGTGTCTTCCACCGGCACGATGTCATCCATGGGTACAAGCACCCTCCGAAAGGAGTGGAGGGGCGGCGTTGGCGGGAGCTGGGGGCGCGGGTCCAGGTGCAGCCCCCCTGCTTCTCGGGGGCCCCCTGGTTCGTCCGCCTCTCGGAGCCATTCAAACCCGGAGCGGCCCCTGGGAGCCTTCTCTGAGAGCTTCCTTTCAGTCTGATGGTGGGAGAACCTTCGAGAACTTTCCAGCTCAGCATGGAACCTCTGCTCAGATGGCATGCACTCCCCTGCTTCCTGAGCCAGGGGGTGCTCCCAGGGTCCCTGGCCGTGGTGGGGGGATTCGGGGAAGTGGCCCAGAAGATGGGGTGGCGGGGAGCCTGGCCGGAAGTCCAGGCTGCCTGCATCCCAGCAGCTGCAAGGAAGTGGCAATGAGGACAGGTTAGCTGCAGGCCCTCTGCTTCCCTCCCTAGGGTGATGGAGAGATGCTCTCAGGCAGACCCGGGTGATCCATCCCGAGGGAGGCTACAGAGAGGGCTGTCTGTATAGGTGACATGGGGGAGTTGGGGGGGGGTGTCCATCTGAACTTCTCCCAAGCTGTCGGGTCAAAGCCAGGGTCAGCTTCTAGGATATACCTTAGAGTCCAGCTCTGATGTATCACAGCGGGGTGTGTGTGTGTGTGTGTGTGTGTGTGTGTGTGTGTGATGATATGCCTGGGGCTGACTTGGTTACTTTTTTTTGTTTTCTTTCTCCCCTAGTTCCAAGCATGTACCACAGAGCCAGAAGCGACTGGAAGGTCTCCATGCCCTGCTCGGCCTCTGGCACCGGAGACCGTGACCTTGTGGGTCACAGGATCAAGTAGGGGAGAAGGGAAGGCAACCCTTGTCTCTCTGGGTCTCGGTTTTCTGATCTTTAAAATGGGGTTGATTCCCAAAGAACCAGAAATCTCCTTGTCGTTAGCGGGGTCGGATCTAAGGAGCTTTTTCATAGTTGTAACGCAGGCAAATTCCTTGCCTGTGGGCTGCCTGGTTTGGGGGCGGTTATTTCAAACGCCTGTAACCATAGCCTTTCAAGATGAGCAGAGATGGTTTCCATTCACCCCGCGGGGTGGCGAGCAAAACGCTTGGCGGGTGACCCACTGTGATATTTCCCAGATCCTGGCCCACATGCCAAGAGGCGGGTCTCATGGAGGGGACCTTGGTGGCATGAGGTGCACAGGGGAGTCGTACCGACAGCCCAGCAAGCGGGGAGGCTGTGGTGACTGCAGAGGGCTCTCTGGTGAATTCTGATTGCCCACCGCCGGCATGCCCACCGGGTCCCTTTGCAACAGGGAGTAGCTGGTCTGGCATGGCTGTTGCTTCCTGCTTTGGACTCAATGGGTCCCCACGCCATAGGACTCCATTTTACAGGTGAGAAAACCGAGGCCCATGAAGCAGAGAGAACAAGGACCCTAAGGGTCTGTGCCCCTCAGCCCTGTTCTTGGCAGAGATAATGTGAGTTGACTGCCTCCTTGCCCACCCCACAGGTCGCCACCTCCTCCTGCCTGGCCTCCAGGCTCCCTCCTGTCCCCCCTCTTGCTTCCCCCTGGGCTTTCTCTCTCTCTCTCTCTCTTTCTCTCTCTTGGGGCCTGGGGCACCTGCTGTTTCACCCCCTGCCCTCCCTGAGGCCAGGGCCAGCGTGGCACTCACCAGCTGCTGATCCGATGGGTGGCGGAGGTAGCACAGGGGAGGGCTTCGTTGAGGCCGGGATGGGGCTGCCCATCTGTAAACAGAGAGGGGAGACCCTGAGGGGCTGGGGTCCCCCTGGCTGGGGCCCTCCGTGCCCCGACTCTGGGAACCCTGCCGGGGCACCTTGGCAAGGGCCATGTTGGCTGCCAACCAATCTCATTTCCCGGAGAGCCCTGTGGACCTCTCCACTCCTGAGCCCTTAGGAAAAAACAACAACAACAACAAAAAAAAACCCAACAAGGGTTTCCTAGCTTCCTTCCTTTCTTCAAGTTGGCAGCTGGGGTGGTTTGTGTTTCTCTAAAAGCCAAACCCTGGCACAAACTCACCTGGCTTTTCGTGGTAACCTACAGTTAGAGCGGGATTTTTTAACTCCCAGCCGCCAGGCCCCTGCGGAAATCAGACTCAGCATGCGCGCGTCCGATCTCCACGCTGTCTGCCTGCAGGCCCTCCTCGTTGCCTCAAAACCCCAGGGCACCTGCCGCTTGCTCTGCCTGGCCCATAACCCACGGGAAGTCTCCCAGAGATGATTATTATTTTTTTTTCTCTCTCTCTTAGTACCTTTTGAAAAGTTGCCTGGCTCCTGCTCTGGGAAAATGCCTGCTCAACCCTAGAGCAGGCAGCTACTGGCTTGGCCCTGGTCCTCGCCACATCTAGCACCTGGCACAGGAGGACTCGGGGAACACCTGCCAGGTGGTGTGTGAGCCGAGTTGCCCATCAGGCCCAAACTATGTCTTGCTTTCTGGATCCATCCCCGCTCCTTCTGGGACCTCCTCCCTGGACAGAGCCAACTCTCCATTATCTGCCTGTGGAGCCAGAGCCTGGAGTGACTGCAGGAATCCTGGCCCGTGTCTGCTGTGCCCTGCCACGCTCGCCTGATGCCTGGCGAGTGTGCCAATCGGGGCGCGGGCCAAGCGTCTGGGCCAAGGGTAACACACACTGGGGGGGGGGGAACTTGTGCTCTGTCCAGAGCCCAACAGATGCAATTGCTGGTGCTGGATCACCTTCAATTTGAGGATAATCCAGAGAGAGAGAGAGAGAGATAGACAGAGGATTGCTGGCTGGGGCCAAGTGTGTCTGTGTGTGTTTTCTGTCTCCCATCAGGCAGATTGCTCAGGAAATGTGAGAGCTGCTGAAAAATGAGGATAGGATGAGGGTACAGGGGTTGGGGTGAAAGTGTGTGTGTGTGTGTGTGTGTGCCCAGAACTTAATGATTGTTATATGGTCTCTAGACAGGTTAAGCAGATTTTTTTTTTTTTAAATGAACTCAAACATGGCTGCTGTGCGGGGGCCTGGCCATTACCTGGGGATTATAGGATACGGTGTATTGTAGGGAACTCACAGGGCATGACCCATCTCCCCAGCCCCGTAGTTACAACAACCGAATCCACCTCCCGTATACTACCAGTGTGTCTCCTGGCTGGCGGTAGGCAGCATCAATCCCACCCCTCCCCGCCACACCCCTGCATGAGTGCCCCTGAGGCGGGCGTGTTTCCGGTTTATCTATTCTTTACTTCTTTATTCCCCTTCATTCTCCTCCATAACTACCCCTACTTATATATTATCCATACTTTCTTCCCCATACTATTTTCTCAATTACTTTCATCTTACTCAAACATTACAAATCTCTCAACTTTTAAAACCAATCTCAAATTTCATCACCCCCCTAATAAAGTCATTATATAACTCCAATCTCTTCTTTTATTAATTCTAAAAATCTTTACATTCTCCTCTACTTAAACAAAAAAAACCTTCAAAAAAAAAAAAAAACCAATATTAACAACACAACCTATACACACTCACCCTCACAAAACAAATACATCTATCCAACTACTATTCTTCCCTTCCACTCAATCATAATAAAAACTCCACCCTCTAAAATTAATTAAAATTCATAGTTTATAAGAATTATTACCTTCTCTACAATCCACCATCCCTCTTAATAAACACTCCCCTTCCCTTTCTAGCCCCCCTCCCACCCTCCATCCCTCACCCTCTCCCTGTTCCCCCCCCCCGCCCTTCCCCCCACCTCCCCATCATCCCCCCCCCCCCCCCCCCCCCCTCCCCCCCCCCCCACCTCTCCCGCCGCCCCCCCAATCCCCCCCCGCCCCGCCCCCGCCCAAGCCACCCCCTGCCCCCCCCCTCCGTTCCCACCACCGCCCCTATCCTCCACCCCAGCCCTCCCACCCCCCCACGTCCCCTCCCACGCCCCCCCCCTCCACCCTTGCAGTGACAACCATTACCAACCCGGTATCACCGGGCCAGTGAGGACGCAGAGAAGGCCACGCAGAGGCCAGTGAGGGAAGGGAGATGGTGCCCAGGAGCTGCCTGCTGGAGCTGGGTCGGCCGTGTCCCATGGCAGCAGCTCGGACCATATCACCCCATGCGCCATCTGGGTTTCTCCCCCAGCCCCAGGAAGGTGGAAATGATGCATTTTTTTTTTTTTGTCCCCGAGTCCCCCTGGTCCCTCAGACAATGCCAGGCACACACAAGATGTCATCCATCTCCCCCCCTCTCCCCCGACTTAGCTACAACCTGGGAGGCCTAGCTGGAGAGGTGGAATGAGGCAAGGAGCTAAGCATGCCACGGAGGATAGAGGATGCAGTGGACACCGTCTTGTCCAGGTAGAGGAGTCTGGAGGGAGCTGCCCCAGGGTGTCCCTGGGGACCGCTGAGGGCTGAGCCTTTAGCAGGTGCACAGGAAAGGCAGGTGGAACACCCTGAGGGTACAGCGAGGAATATGATGTCCGAAGGCCCAGCCTTTCTTCAACCTCCGACGGAAGCCTCCAAGTCACACCCTCCCACCCCATGCCACCATGGCGCAGGGGTCCCACGTCCTCTCCTCCCCAGGCAGTCCACAACAGATGCTGACACCAACGCCTGGCTGGTTCCCCAAGATGGGACTGGGGGAGCGCCGACCTGCCTTTCTGCTCCCTCCGGACCCCAGAGAGAGAAGAAATGTCCCATTCCTCACAGCCAGACCCAAAGAGGATTCCATGACCAAGAAGCCTACTCTGCTGTGGCCAGCCGTGTGACCCGGGATGGGGTCCTCACCCCCAACTTAGGGTTTATGAGAAGGGCTTTGTTCCTGGGGAGCTCAACTCCCTTGCCTTCTGGGTTTTTACTCTGCCAGCCTCTTTCTGGCCTTGGCACAGGTAAGGGTCCCCGGGCCTCTTCTGTCTGGTTTCGTGTCCCCCATCCTTCTTCTGTCACTTTTTTGAAAGGGCTGGAGTGTTTGGGGGTGGGGTGGGAGGCGGGCGGGGGGGGGCCTGTGCTGGCTGCTGGTCTCATCCTGACCCCTGCCATTGTGTCAGCATACGTGGTGGCATACCCGTGTCCCACATGCTCTCCCCGACCTCGTCCTGGATGGCAGGATGAAAGTGAGGATGGGGTGTGTGTGTGTGTGTGTGTGTGTGCGTATGTGCAGGCGTGCGCGCCCCAGTGCCCGACTCCAAGGCAGAGGTAGAGATATCTGATGATTACAATAGATGCAGGAGGCAGGTGGAGTACCCCCCCCCCAGGACGTGGCAGCCCGGGGAAGGCTCTGTGGCCTTGGCGCTCAGGCTTTTCCCCACCTCCAAATGGTTTCAGTCATGGAAGCTGCCCCACAGAGCCCCGAATAGGGGATGGCATGGGGTGGCTCAAGCATGGTAGGAAACCCCCCTGAGGTGGTGCTGGGAGAATCCTGGCACAAACTGAAGCTACATCATTCTGCAGCCACGGCGGGCTCCTCCCTGCAGTTGCTATTGCAATCACCCCCACATGTTACATGCCAGGCTCTCCCCAGGGGGATGGGAGGGGGCACCTTCCCTTCTTAAACCATCCCAGCACCTGTCACCACCTGCCCCCCGGTGATAGATCATCCTTTCCGCAATGCCAGATTCTTCCTACCAGCCACTCCCTCCCTCCATCGCCCCCCCAGAGCAGGAACTCTTATATTTGGTTTGTCTGCGGTTGCCTTCCCAGCGCTTGGAACAGAGCATGGAGCACGCACACACACGTGTACACACACACACACACACACACACACACACACACAGCCCTTGTTTGGAGTGCCCGATCTTGAGCAGGGATGGGATGCGAGAAGGCACAAGCTGGCAGCCACCTGCCCCGACACGCCCACCGATCTCTCCCCGGCCACCAGGGGGCACCAACTGTTTGGGTGCAAAATGGCAATAAAGAGCTGACACAGCTGGAGGCTGGGTGAGAGGTTTGAGACAGGGAGTTGGGAGTGCTAGGTGGCATCCGGAGCTGGTAAGGATCCTTGGACAACGACGACGGAGACAAGCTGACCACCTGAGTTTGGGTCCCAGCCCCTTGCCACTCCCTGGGTGGCCTCTGAACTGCACCTGCCCCCGCCCGTGTCTTCCATCACCTCGCTGTCAGATGAGGAATAAGCAGAGAGCCCGGAGAAGACACCACACCAGGAGCCATAGGCATCCGGACTCGGGTCCTGCTGGGCTGGGCGACCTGTGGCCTGGCGCTTGCTCTCTCTCTCTCTCTCTCTCTCTCTCTCTCTCTCTCTCTCTCTCAATCTCAGGGGCCAGCATCGAAGGGGTCCCCCACTCTTACCAGAAATGCCACTTCTGTTATCCAACATGTCTTGAGGCCCCTCCTTGGTGATGGGCAGATAACGGGCGGACCGGAAGATGCCACCTTCCCCCTCGGCAGCCTCGGCCCCACCCTCGATGTCCTCCCGTGGCGCCGGGCCCGGCAGTCTCTCTGGGCCTCGGGGGCGATCTGGGGTGGCCAGGCCACTTGTCAGGGGTCCCTCCATGAGGACGGCCTGCTTGGCTCCTCCACTCTGGGCGGCTGCGCTGATTCAGCAAGGCATTTGTGGATCTGGGGGGTCAGGGAGAGGGGAGCAGAGAGAGAGAGAGAGAGGGCATTGCTTTGTGAAGAGAGGAAAGAGACGCTGCCTCAGGTTCCCCAGTTTGCAAAAATCCCAACTCCTCCTGGCCTCACTTGCCCTGCCTGTGCAGGAAAGTCAGTCCAGTTCTGAGAGCCCCCCGCCCCTTCCGCACACACATCACACACCTGCCACCCCCATCTGTTGCTCCCCCATTTTTACCCACAGCCGGGGGGGGGGACCCCTTCTGGTACTCCTGTGTGCCTCCTGGCACCCCACCCCTGGCTGAACTTTTCCCCCCCGTGCCTGCACTGTGCATTGATCCTACAGAATTTCAAGGCTACTCCCCCCCCCATCGTTCACCTCCCGCTCACTGCTCACTTTTCTTGCTCTAGCGCCCAAATCAATCACCCTGCACTTTTCCCACACTCTTAGGGTTCTCCAGCGTTAACCCCTTCACCCCCACACACCACACACAGCCTCAAGTGACCCCACGTTTATTTAACCCTCGGGCTCATCCCCAACCTTCTCTTTGCATGCATAGCCCAAGCTGGGTTCCTCCCCATCCCCAAAACCCCAGGCACCCTCTCCTCCCCCCCACCTCTAGTACTCAAGCCAAAGGGGAACTGTGGGGCTCCCGGTTTTAGAAAACCCGAGGACCCTGGAGGAGGAGGGGGGGGTGCTATCCTAGCCACCCTATAAATACCTTCAAGGTAACGGCAGAGAGTGAAGGGCAGGAATGAGGCGCCCTCCCCAGGGAGTCGGTGGGGAGGCCGGGCCCAGGCAACCGGGGCGGGGCCGGGACTCCAGGCCTGCTTTCAGGCGCTGCCCTGGGGAGCCTGGGGGGGGGGGGAGCCTCCCAGGGTGACCCCCTATTCTTGGGCCAGCAGTCCTGACGGTGTAGGGGGGAAGGTGGTGGAGAGTGGTCCCTGTCCAGGCCTTGCAGGAAGCACCTTGCAGGTGCCCACCGGGTGGGCACTGCCCGGAGGGAGGTGGTGGTGGTGGTGGTGGGGGGAACGGTCGGGACCGCAACTTCGGAGCACTTTGGCAGCGTGGGAAGAGGGGGCTCCCGCTCAGACGTCCCCCCACCACACACACACACACTCGGGGGTCGCAGAGGTGGGTGCTGCTTGCCGTGCAGGCGCACCCCTAGGGTGGGCCGGGGCCCGTGCACCTCGGGGCGGGAGACCCCGCGTGACGCGCCGAGGGTGGGTGGGTGTGTGGGTGGGTGGGTGTGTGGGTGGGTAGGTGGATGGGGGGGGGACACCTGCCCCAAGACCCCCCACTCCACCTGCACGGCCCCGCCCCCGCCCAGGCCCCGCCCCTAGAGGTGCCGCCCCGCCCCCCCACCCCGGGGGGTCCCCCGCCTGTCCCGGCCCCGGTCCCGGGCCTCTTCTTCTTCCTCCTCCTCCTCCTCCTCCTCTTCCTCCTCCTCTCCCCTCCGCCTCAATCCCCTGCTCCGGCTCCGCCCCGCCCGTGGGCTCCCCCAGGCCGGGGCCGGGACCTCACCGGGGGTGGGGGGGTGTGGAGGCGGCGCCGCCCCCGGCTGGCTGGGCGCCGGGGCTCAGGAGCTCCCCTCCTCGGTGCGGCCGTCGCTTGCCGTAGCTACCGCCGTGGCCGCTCCCGGTGCCGGTGCCGCGGCCTCCGCAGCCGCCGCCGCCGCCGCCTCCTCCACCACCGCTCGGGGGACATTGTCCCTTTAAATCGCTCTCCCCCACCCCCCCCCAACCACCACCACCTACACCCCCGGCGCCGCCCCGCCCCCCCGGCGCGCCGCCGTGACCTCAACGCGACAGCCCCGCCGCGCCGCCATGATGGGGAGGTCTGGGGGCGCCACCCCAGGGGGGCGGGGGGCGGCCCGGCGGGCGCGCCGCCATGTTGGGAGTGGCCCCGACCGGGTCACTCTTAAAGGGCCCGCCCGGCTGGAGTGTGTGTGTGTGTGTGTGTGTGTGTGTGTGTGTGTGTGTGTGTGTGTGTGTGTGTGTGTGTGTGTGTGTGACGGGGGGGCTGGGTGGGAGAGGCTCTGTTGCCATGACAACACCCTCGCCCTTAAGACCCCAATGACTTTTCATCATGCCCCCCCCCACTTCATTGGTACAAGAGTGGGAGACAAGTTCCAGTGCAAGTCATTGCTAAGCCATCAAGGACTGTCCTGTTCCCCAGGCAGTCGCCTTCCAACGACCCCCCCATCTCCCACCCCCACCACCAGACTGCTCCCTCCTTTCCTGTCGTTCACACTGCCCACCCATCCCCCCAGGACCAACCGGTCCCCATGTCCACCAAAAGCCTGTGGCCTTGTCCCATCCGTCCACCCACACCCGTTCGCCAACCACCACCTCCTGCCCACCCATCACCCATCCCTCTACCGCTCTCCCCACCGCTTCATCCAACCAAGCAACCCACCATCCCCTGCCCGATGCCCACAGCACCCCAGCTATCCCCACACCATCCTTCCACCACCACCACCACCAACATCCATCCATCACGCATTGCAGATCTGTGTGTGTGTGTCCTCCCCCCAACCGTGGCCGCTATGTTCCTGTTGCCCAGAGCGAGTGAGATGCCAAACATCGTCCTGTCGGTTGGGCACGCTTGCTTAGGCAATTCATTCACCTCTTTATTTCCTGGCGTGAGCTGAGCCTTTGCCAGGCTGATGTGGAGGCAGCCAACGCTGCCACCTGCTGCTACCCCTCGGCGTACCCCCATCCGCATGCGGTCCTCTAGCTGCCTCCCAGACCCTCATCCCGGGTGCCAGGGGGGGTGGAGGGCTCGGGTCCCACCCCTGGGTGGGCATCTACTACTGCTGTTCCATCCCTGAGACCTCCAAGGACAGGGAAAAGCTCGAGAAAGCTCAGGAAGGGAGTTTGCAGGCACTCTCTAATTGACAATACTTTTTTTTTTTTTATTGGGGGCCAGGGAGGTCAGCACGGATAGCCGCACCCGCTCCTCTTTGATGCATGCCCGTCTCAGGTGGTGTCTCCATTGAGGCAGGGCACTTTGAGGGGCAGGGGCTGGCCGGGCGTCCTCGAGTGCTGCAGGGTCTGGATGGCGGCCCCCATCTGGGCCTGGAGGGTTTCCATCTCAGCCAGGCGGTGCTCCTGTGAGGGGCAGGCAGGCAGCAGCCATGGGGAGGGTGGCACCCCAGCCATCTTCAGGACAACCCGCCCCAGCCCGACCTGTCCCAGGCTGGACATCTCACCAGACTTTTCAGCCTGTGGCCCTCTCTGCTCGGAAGCTCGTGCTCTGGGTCCAAGTCTGAGTTCCTGCTGGGGGAATGGAGGGTTCAGGCCCAGAGGGGTGGGGGATCGGAGGTTTAAAGGGAGACCCGGGGCCGCGGAGGACCGGAGGGCGGGGCCTAGAGGGCCTGTGAAGGGATCCAGAGCTCTGGGAGCTTAGGGCCAGGTCGGAGCCTGCACTGGGCAGTGCCGCGGCTGGTCCAGCTGGCACTGCCCGGGCCTGGCCGCTCCACAGGGAAACCTGGGCAGGGCCCTCCGGGGCGGGGCTAACAGAGGGGGGCGTGGCCAGGCTGACAGACGGGCCCACCCTGGGGGCGGGGCTGACCGGGGGCGTGGCCGGGCCTGGCCTCTCCACAGGGCGGGCTGGGCAGGGGCCTCCGGGGCGAGGCTAACCGGGGGCGTGGCCGGGCCTGGCCTCTCCACAGGGGAAGCTGGGCAGGCGCAGTGTGGGGCGGGGCCTCCCGGGGGCGGGACTAACCAAGGGGGCGTGGCCGAGCCGACAGGCGGACTCCCAGGGGGCGGGGCTAACCGGGGGGCGTGGCCAGGGCTGACAGGCATCACTGACAGGCAGACCCTCCCAGGGGGCGTTGTCAGTGGAGGGGCGGAGCTAAGCTAACCCGGGGCGGGGTGTGTCCCCTCCAGGCATGACTGACAGGCAAGCCCACCCTGTGGGCGTGGTCAGCGAAGGGGGCGGGGCTGACGGGTGCGGGGCGTGGCCGGCCCAGGCATGACTGACAGGCAGGCCCACCCTGAGCTCACCCTGCGCGCAGCCTGAAGTTCAGGTCTTGCAGTTGGCTCCGCAGCTGTTGCTGCTGCTCGGTGAGCGCCCGAATGTGGGTGCTCAGGGACTCCACGAGGCGGGACAGGGCTTTCTGCTCTTCGCGCAGCGCTGCCACCTCACCCTGCAGCTCCGCCAGCTGTGCAAGACAACACCCGCTGTCATGAGACCCCCTCCAGCTGCCCTGGGTGGTGGGTGGGCAAGGGGACACCCTTCCATGCTTCTGGCCTGAGACCCCGGGAGCGGCCCCCTCCGCCCCTCTGCGTCTCTTGCACCTTGCCCAGCGGTCGCTGCATGCTCTGTGTCTGGTCTCGATCCCGCGGCTGGTCCAGCTGGCGCTGCCAGGGCACCGACGGCTTGCGAGGCAGCGAGGCGGAGGCTCCGGTCCAGGGGCGTCCTCGGGGCGCAGCGCCGGAGCGCAGGGAGTCCTTGGGGCGCACCCGGGGCCCCGCAGACAGGCGGCGGCGTGCAGGGCGCCGGGCAGGGACGCTCTGCGTGCGTTGCACGGTCCGCGGCTTCCGTGCACCTCCTCGGTCCTCGTCTGGTCGCCGCCGGGTCCAGCTCCCGGCGCCCTGGAAGCTGCGCAGGGACTGGCTCTTGGAGATGAGCGGGGTGTGTTTTGGAAGGTCTCGGGGTGCCACGAAGCCGGGCTTCTCCCCTGAGGACAGACTGAGGGCGTCGGGAGGAAAAGTTCTGATCTCAGAAGAGCTCCTGGGGTGACTTCCCTCCCTCCTCAACCCCCTAATTCTGGTCTTTGAAACCCATGCGACTCTGTTTCTGATGAGCTTGCATTTTGACCTAATCACCCTTGTACTTAACTTCTTGATGTGACTTCAATTGAACCTTTGACGTATCTCTACCCTGACCTCTGGTGTCATGGGACCTTGACCAAAGGATCTGACCTTGGATTTGATCTCTAGCGCCTCACCAATCTGTGACCTTCAACCTACGCTGTTGTCACCTCTT